CACAGAAACACCACAGAATGTGGCCATATCATCCATAGTTGGTGCCTTGTGAATTTCTGTCAACAATACTTAAAACTTTACTGACTTGTTTGGAGAGAGAAAAAAAAAAAACACCCACCTTTATCAGCAGTATTGTATTTACATGTTCTGGGTTCTTAGGACAAATAAACTCTCTGGCCTGATTTTTCATGTCATTGTGTGGGAACCATGAGCTGTTAGAGCTAAAGCTGTTCTGACAGTTAATTTTTGTTTTGTTTTGTTTTACTTTTTCGAGACAGGGTTTCTCTGTATTATTTTTGAGGCTGTCCTGGAACTCGCTCTGTAGACCATGCTGGCCTCGAACTCACAGAGATCCACCTGCCTCTGCCTCCCCAGTGCTGGGATTAAAGGTATGCACCACCAATGCCCAGCCCCTGACACTTATTTTTAAGCCAACACATTATGTTGCTCTTGCGGGCCTAGAACTTACTCTGTAGACCAGGTTGATTTGGATCTCAGAGTCTGCCTGTTGGGATTACAGGCATGTACCACCATGCTCAGTTACAGTGTGACTGTTCTCTAAGGTTGAGACTTAGGGGATGATCCCTCTATTCTGTGACTGCATTCCATCCATGTGACTCCTAAGTGCCTTCCCTTGCAAATCCAACACTTGGTATAATCAGGTCATGTATGACTTATTGGAGTCCTGGTAAATTAAGTCAGCTACTCTACATGAAGCCAGACCCTTTACTCCCCTAGAGTTCTATCGGTTATTTGTCCAAGGCCATGGCAAGAATTGGCATCTTTCTTTAGATGCAGAACTCAGAGTTGTCTGGAATTCATCCACTGGGCTGTCTGAGTATATTCTTGTATTTATACATGTTGAAATATAATCCCCATTGTAAGGCATAAGAGGGTGGAAACTCTCTAGCTGTGGTGTTCAGAAGTAAGGTTTTTCAGTAATTAGAGTAGATATAAGCCAAATGGTGGTGGCTCATGCCATTAATCCCAGCACTCAGGAGGCAGAGGCAGGCAAATCTCTGTAAATTCAAGGCCAGCCCGGTTTACAGAGGGAGTTACATGGCAGCCAGGGCAACAGAGAAACCCTGTCTCAAAAAAAAAAGAAGACAGTAGATATGATTAATTCCTGATAGCTTTATAAGAGGGAAATTACACACATAGAAACAGAAAATTAGCCAATAAGCATTTTTTCTCTCACATCAATTTTCATACGGTCACCTGGGAACATCTGAGTACAAGAAACCTCCAGACATAGTGGAGCAGGTAGACCAAAGGAACTTTTGAGAGTGACAACTTTATCAATTTGATGTGGAAGTTAAGCATCAAATTTGTTTCTGTCTAGAGCAAGGGAAGCTTTACTTTTGTTAATGCACCAGGCAGGACACTGTCTGCATTTTCTGATTATATTGGAGTGGAAGCCAGTTTTTTTCTGACTACTTCTACCAGAGGGTGAAGTACATGGTAAGCAGGCAAATAACATGCCTAGCGGCCTGTGAGGTCAGCCTGCTAAGTTGCTATGCCCACTGGAACTTACAACATGGTTTTCTAGTCTCTGACCTCTGCCATGCCAAGACAGGGAGGAACTACTTTACCTTGGTTGTACAGGTTGTTTGTGTTCTAATAAATGGATCAGCCAATCAATTTAGCATGCTGTTATGAACAAACAGCAGACTGAATGGCTCTCAGGCCTGGAAAGCACATTACTCCACAGCTTTCATCTTTGATAGAGAATCGTGTAGCTTTCACAAAGCAAGCTGTACCTCAGGATGGGAGAGGTGGGATTTCTGGGGTGCTCTTCCCTTTTCTCTAATAAAATGTGCAGGGAAGCACTCTTCTTCCTTACATACGCATAGCAGCACTTTGTCACTCAGGCTGAGCACAGATTCACTCTGTAGCTCTGGCTGGCCTTGACTTATTAGTAATTCTCCTACTTCAGCCTTCTGAGTTCAGGGACTACAGCATCTGTCACCACTGCATTCTTGAGGATGTTGCCCATCTCCCAGAACTTGGTTGCTTGGCTTCGTACAGGATGTGCAAGATGAATATGGCACACCCAGAAATGTTCAACTTTTTGATATTGCAACATGACATCTGTCATCTACAGATGTGTTGGTTCACATTCATAGTTTTGTTGGGACACATGTGACCTGTGGGCTGCAATTAATCACTTACCTCCTACTATTAAAATGTTTATACTGGAATAGTCAAAGGGTTTTATTAAGTAAGCTTTCAATGACATTAGCATCCTAATGATGTCTCTAAGCAAATAGTGTCCTCTTAGTGATAGCTGGGAGCAGCAGCAGCAGCCACTATCCTGGGCTTCTTTCTTGTGGCTTCCTCCAGCCACAATAAGCACCAAGGAGCACATCACGGAGGCCTTGGCCTGCATGAAATCCCTGCTCCAGTACTCTGACTTGGCTTAGCTCCGAGGTTCATAGGAAGGTATGGGTCTCACTAGGCAGTAGGGTTTTGGTGGGAGCAGTTTATTTTATTTTGTGTGTGAGGCTGCACATGGAGGGAACATGCAGGTGTAGGTCAGAGGACATCCTTGGGTGTTGGTGCGTGCCTTCCGCCTAGGTTGAGGCAGGTTCTCTTTTTCTGTAGGTTAGCTAGTCCGCAAGTTTCCGGGGCTTCTCCTGGCTCCACATCCCATCTGTGGTAGGAACACTGGGATTACAAATGAGCTGCTGCACTTGGCCTAAGTGGGTTCTAGGGATTCAAACTCAGGTCCTTAACCTTGCAGGGCAAGTACTCTCTATACAGAGCCACCACCCTAGACATGTTTTTAAAAACAAGGTCGCATGTACCATATATCTGAGGTTGGGCTTCACTCTCTATAGTCCTCCTGCCTCCAACTCCCAAGGGCTGGTTATAGGCATGAGCCACCAGGCCCAGTTTTTCAATGGGTAGTTCTAAAAAAAGTGTTCAAAGTTAGGAACAGCAGATTCACTGCTAACAGTTTTGAATATTTATTAGTACACAGTTTTGTGAGTTTTTAAAAAAAGACTTTTGAGATAAGGTCTCACTTTGTACCCCAGGCTAGCCAAGAACCGGTTGATTTTCCTGCTGGTGTTATAGGTGTACACTACCATGCCTAGCAGCCCTTAGCATTTTGGTTGTGAGCCTAGCCTTTAACAGCTGAGCCATCTCTCCAGCCCAGCCCATAGCATTTTATGCCAGCAGTGTATGTTTTAAAAGTCAACCTTGTGCATCTTTAACTTCATAGTTCAGTGCCACAGTTTCTTGCAGGTAGATTTCCGGTTTGAGAAAATAGGAGGCTTTGTTGTATTGACCAGTGACATGATAACCCTCACGTTATAGAAGACTTTAATGAGACAGATTTGAGAGATCATCCCTCCCCTCTTAGTTTTCAGTAGATGGAAAGTTCCTGTGACGTATACGCCTTTCCTCTGAGGCATGTAAAAGGCATGAGGCCCCAAGGTGGCTCTACCAGTCTCACAGACACTCTACAGGGAAGACAGAGGAACTGACAGTGTGGTGTCACCATGCCCTTTGGCTTTCCCGATGGGAGAGTGCTATCTTTTTTCTGAACGAGTCAGAGTCAGAGAACAGCAGTTGTTCAATCATCCAACTGGAAAGAAGGCTAGGATAGGGCAGTAATTGGGGTGCTTCTCTAGCATGTACAGGGTACTGAGTTAATCACAGCACCAAACATACATGTAGGGTATTTAATTCCAACACTTGGGAGACAGAAGTAGGCAGATCCCCATGAGCTTGAGGCCAGTCTGGTCTATATAGTGAGTTGCAGGACAGCCAGGGCTATGTAGAGATACTCTGCTTCTAAAATCAAAAACCAAAACAAATACAAAACAACAGCAAAAACAAAACTAACCAAACCAAGCCCCACCCCAATCTTACAAAACCAAACAAGCAAACAGAAAGGAGAGGGTATAGGTCACCAACAGGTGCCCTCATTCGTTCATTCACTCACCCAGCCAGTGTTCATTACATACTGATAGTGTGGTAGGCCTGGGGGCCTAAGGAGATATGAAAACAAATAGGTTTTATGAAAGAAACAACACAGTATAATCAGAGCTACAATACAAACAGTTGCAAGGTGCTGCTACATAAAGAGCTTGCCCTGACTTCTCAGTAACTTTCTTGGCGGAGAGCGCCCCCTCGTGGAAGGGACAGACTGTGCAAAGCCAGAGAAGCAAGGCATATGTGGGCAATTCCTAACTCTGGCAGCAGAACTGTGCTTGTTAAGGTTGGATAGCAGGCAGGCATTGACCATTCCAGACAATATATTAGGTTGGAATTACTGTAAGCAAGACAGCAAATCTGTTGGCTCTGAGATAGTTCTTTATATGCTTTGGATGAGCATGATCTAGGTTTGAATCTCTAAGCTCAAAGTTCTAGAAAAAGCTGTGTGAAAGCACCTTATCCTGCCTCATCAGGGCCCAACCCCACACCCTGCTACCCAATCAGATCTGCTTCAATAGATGGCAAGAGGAAGGTGAGAGGGAAACAGCCACTTGTTAAAGGCTCGGCGTGCCTTGAGATGGCAGGCCCAGGCGGCGTGAAGGGCTGCCTCTTGGGTCAGGGGTATAGCTGATGCTGCTGTCTGTTTTCTCTTTTCTAGATTAGCCGTATTCAGAAATGAGATCTGTAAAACTTAAAATTACATGATCAGGGCTGCAGACATGGCTCAGCTGCAAGTACTTTGCTTGCAGAGGACCAGAGTTTGGTTCCTAGCACAACAACCTATAACTCCAGCTCTGGGAATTTGATCCCTCTTCAGGCCTCTGTGGGTATCTCCACACACATGGCACACACACACACACACACACACACACACACACACACACACACACACACACGATTAAACATTAAAAAGTTAGATTACCATCTGAAATTTAAAAGAACCCCTCCCCAAATAAAATAAAATAAAGTAAAATAAAAGGGGTTGGTAGGCCATTCCAGTCCAATCAAAGCTTTTCTTTCTCGAAAGTGAATATGATCAAAGCAACTGACAAACTGTCACGGAACCTGCCAGGCCACTCTTTGACCTTGCCTCTCTTCTCCAGCTCCTGAACTTTCCCTCCTTCTCTCATGGGCCCTGAGTCCATTCCTAGCAAATTAACAGGCCCAGGACTACTGGTCTGCAGACATCCTGGGCCCACTGAGCAAAGCCAAGTTGTCTGTCTCTGCCCCCTGGTGGCCTGATGACCAAGCTTCATGGAGGTAAGTTACTCTCCAACAACCCTGCAGGTTTTCTGGACACTTTGGAAAACAAGATCATAAGGAATGGGCTATAGACTGTGGATCAAGAAAAGAAATCAAGGAAATATTTAATGTGTAGTTTTAATCTTTTATACTCTCTCTAGGCCTTTGGAAAAACAGAGATTAGAAAGGGGGTAAGAAAGTAAGGAAGTCCACCATAACTTTTGAAAATAATTAAAATAAGCATTATATAAAAGGTTACCTTCTTATTAACTTTAGATGAAAAATTATTAATTATAATGTTTTTTCATACGACCACATTTGGTGTGTTATATTTAAAACAGGAGAAATTAAATATTTAAAAATTACATTTGTGTATTTTGTGTACATGTGTGGGTGTGCATGCCATAGCATGTGTGGAGGTCCAAGGACAACTTGCAGGAATCAGTTCACTCCTTCCTCCATGTGGATCTCGGGTATCGAACTTGGGTCATCAGGCTTGCAGGAAAGCATCTTTACCTGCTGAGTCATCTCCCCAGCCCAGTTAAAGGTTTTAAATAGATTTCCTTGTTTTAAGACACCTTAAAACTAAAGGAAAAGAAGTCAGTCTTCTAAACTTTAGTGTTGTCACAGAGACCTAAGAAAACAATAAATTTATCATAGGAGGGGAAAACCCACCAAAGCTCATCAGGAAATCCCAACACACAGACCCCGATGTCAACATCATTTCCCACCAGTTTTTACTTATGAAACTTACTGTTTTGTGTTTTGATATGGTAGGTTGTGTTTCGAGTTGGGATCTCTTTATGCAGGTTGGCTTGGAACTCAAGATTCTCCTGCTTCCACCTCCCAAATGTTAGAATTACAGGCCTGTGCCAGCACAACCAGCTTGAGGTGAATTTTGTCATATGTAGTTCTTCACTATGATGATCAGGCTCTAACCGCCTCTACCTCAGGACCTTGAGGTTTGCTCATGCTCTGCTTTGTCCTTACTGAAGCAAACTGAGCAACAAATATTTTGTTTACATTTTCTGTAGGAAAAAAAAGCAAATGCTATTGCCTTTTCATACTATACTCTGATCCCTTTAAAACCAAAGTCAGAAAAAAATACTTTAATAGTAAAACAAAAGATTCGATGACAGTGAACTTCCTGTTACTTCCACTATTCAGGCAGAGGCTGGAAATGGTGAAGTCAGCAAGTTTTGAGTCTCCCCTCCGCCTATAGACAAGGCAAACTCAGAAGCAGTGTTGTTTTTTAGTTTAGGCAGAGCTGGCTCTGCCATATTGCTTGTTTCTAGATGAGTTGTATTTTTATTCCTAAGGTAAAATTTCTTTTTATAATAAGGCTTCACATAGCCCCAGGCTGGCTGAAGACTTGCTAGCAACTAAAGCTGCCCTTGGACTCCTCGTTTTTTTGTTTTTTGTTTTTTTTTTTTTCTCCCAAGTGCTGGGGTTGTAGCTGTGTTCCATCATGCCCAGTTTTTGTCCAATCCTTTTGGGGCGGGGAATGTGAGCAAGGATGGGTGTGGTAGTGTCTTAGTCAGGGTTACTACTGCTGTAATGCAACACCATGACCAAAAGGGTTTGTTTTGCTAATATAAATGTCCACATCACAGTTCATCAGTGAAAGAAGTCAGGGAAGGAACCCAAGCAGAGCAGGAACCAGGAGGCTGGAGCTGATGCAGGCCATGCAGGAGTGCTGCTTACTGGCTTGGATTACTACATACAGGCAAGCCACCACGTCTGCTTAATGTTGGTTTTCGAGGGCAGACCTGAGCTCAGAAGTGCAGATTTGGGATTCACCTATGTAGAGGCTTTACATGAAATCATGGAATTACGCATTTGTTAAGAAGAGAGTATAGAGCTAGAAGAAAGCTGGAGAAGATAATCAAAATAGGAAGAGGAGGAGAAACTAGGCATAGCCAAAGAACCAGGGTGGCAGTGCATTCAGGGGCCAAAGGACAGAGTGAGTTCAGGAGGACAAAGACGAAGAGTATGGCTAAAGAACAGAGATTCAGACAGGCTACCTCCAACACATCTGCTAGCCCCTACACAGCAAGGTAACTTGATAGGCATGAGAATCTAGGAAGAACCAAAGGACAGTGAAATGCTTAATGTAATGCAGCTGCTTTCCTCTAAATTGTCTTTTAAACTGTGTGTGTGTGTGTGTGTGTGTGCACACGAGTGTATGTGTGTATTCATGGAGGACAGAAGAGTGTGATTCCTTGGAGTTGGAATTACAAGAATTTGTGAGTTCTGGGATCTGAATTCTAGTCTTCTTCTTCTTCTTTTTTTTTTTTTTTTGGTTTTCCGAGACAGGGTTTCTCTGTATTGTTTTGGAGACTGTCCTGGAACTCACTCGATAGACCAGGCTGGTCTCGAACTCACAGAGATCTGCCTGTCTCTGCCTCTCAAGTGCTGGGATTAAAGGCGGAATTCTAGTCTTCTAATACAGCAGTAAATGCTCTTAGCCACTGAGCCATCGCCATCTTTCCAGCCCTCCTCCTCTCTGTAATACCTTCTTGCTTTATCAATGAACTGAGTTTTACCTGCATCTCTCCATTTCTTCTGTTTTTTTGTTGTTGTTTAAAATGTATCTGCCAGATCCTGCGTTTCTCCTTCCCCCTCTTCTCTCTCCTCATCTTTTCCTCCCTCCCTCCCTCTTTCCCTCCCTCCCTCTTTCCCTCTCTCCCTCTCTCTCTCTCTCTCTCTCTCTCTCTCTCTCTCTCTCTCTCTCTCTCTCTCTCTCTCTCTCTCTCTCTCTGGTCTATATGGACTGGGTTGGCCTTGAACTCTGTCAGGGACTGGGACTAAAGGCATGCTCTACTATGCCTTGGCAGATTCTGTTTCTTTAATGATTTTCTGTGTTCTGCATGGTATCTCACCTGATCTTGTTGCTCCTAATGTCTGTTTTCTGGTTCTTTTTTTTTCATGTTAGAATTCATGAGGGCTCTGGTTTTCACAGATCATCTTTTGCATTAGGTAACAATTGGGCTTGCTGGACAGACTATGAAATGGTCCTGAAGCCCATCTATAGTTTGGGAAAGGAAGTAGAAGCCGCATGGTATATGTAGGCCTGACCTTTAGCATGAACTGTGGGAATAGCAGTTATTTTAACACATTTAGTAGACACCTAAGAGAAATCTTACCTTAAAAAGTCATGTGTGCAAAGAGTAACACATAGGATTGTTTAAGACATTGCTAACTATTGACTTTGGGTCTCCTTTTCAATGGACTGCAAAGGAACCAATTTATATTCTTTGAGAAACAGCATCGACACAGATTATGGCTGATGTTTCATTACTCATCCTGTCAAGATGGTGTATCACATCCCATCCCATCTGACCCCTCATTCTCTCCTAAACATATATACATGTGTATACGCATGCGCATCTTTCCCTAAACATACAGAAATGTTGGATAAAGTGCTAGTGACAATTAAGATTTTGTTTTTGAATGGTGAAATATTAAAAACAATGATTCTCCTTAAAAAAATGCCCTCATTCTTTGTAAAGTCAAAATTGTAAAGAGGGAACCGGGTGTGCTGGCATACCTGTAATCCCTGTACTTGAAGGGGAAAGGCACAGGAAAAGCAAACAAAACAAAACAAACAAAATACCCAAAAAACAAAAAAACAGACAACTCTTTACAATGACATAGCTAGAGACACTATTTGGATACCAGCTTGTTAGGAAAGACTACAGAATACAGTAAAAGCCAAATACAGAATGTTTCAGGGAACTAGGAATGCAAACCTTGCATAAAGAAGAGTGACATAATTTCCAACAGAAGTGCTTCACCCTACTATCCAACACCAATGACAATGAGACCAGACAAACTTGCCAAAGCCAGAGCTTTCCTAGATCCACTTGTCAAGAAGATTTAAGGCAGAAGAAGGCAGAGTCCATCTGATGGTGAGGTGGAGTGGAGGAGATACTCCACAATACACAAACCTACGGTACTGGTTCACTGCAGGGAGAACTCATGTGCATGTTGTTTCAAGAACAACCTCAAATTTACCAACCTGCCTCCCCTTTCATACAAGTCTTTCATAAATAGGTAGCCCGGGAAGAATTCATCTCACTCAAAAGTAGTTAAAGAAACAAAATAATTGGGCTGGAGCAATGGCTTAGTGATAAAGTGCTTGCCAGGCAGGTACAAGGACCTGTGCTGGGCCCCAGAACCCATGTCAAAAGTCAAGCATGGCAGCGTATGCTTGTAGCCCCAGTTTTAGAAAGTCAGAGATAAGAGAAGTTCTGGGAATCACTGACTAGCCTGCTTTGCCTTACTGGTGAACTTCAGGACAATGATACATTGTCTTAAAGGGGGCAGATTGTATTCCCAAGGATGACACTCAAAGTTGTCCTCTAGGCCCTCCCCCACATAAAAAAGAAACAGTTGATGGCAACTGTAAAGTAAGAAAGGGATAAATTGTCCAGAACAAAGAGAGTTATGGCACCAGAAAACACGAACACGCAGGAAATGGAAAGGACTCCAATGCCTGTCTAGGAGCTGTTTACGAAGAGAAACTGGAAGCATAGAGTAATGGTTCATGCCTGTTATCATCGCCAGGAGGCAGAGGTAGTAGGCTTGCCACTGACATATAGATACAGTGGAGTATGGGCCCTGGGGCAGAGCTGGTACTGTGTGCTTATAAACAGCATCAGCCCCACAGCTGGAGAATGAAACAACTTTTGGTGGATCTTTATCAAATAATAATGTCTTGGATGGCATATAACATTCTGCAAAGCAGGATATTGTTCAGTGCAAAAATTCAGCCTCTGGAATCTAATACCTTCATTAAAAATTAAGGTAACATGCATCATAAAATGAACTATTTAGGGGCTGGAGAGACGGTTCAGCAGTTAAGAGCACTGGATGCTCTTCCAGAGGTCTGGAGTTCAATTCCCAGCAACCGCATGGTGACTCAACCATCTGTAATGAAATCTGGTGCCCTCTTCTGTCCAGCAGGCAGAACACTGTATGCATAATAAATAAATAAATCTTTTTTTTAATTAGCTATTTAAAAATGTATAATCCATGTGGGCGTTGGTGGTGTACACTTTTAATCCTAGCACTTGGGAGGCAGAGGCAGGTGGATCTCTGTGAGTTTGAGGCCAGCCTGGTCTGCAGAGCAAGGTCCAAGACAGTTTCCAAAGCCACAGAGAAACCCTGTCACGAAAAACCAAAAAAAAAAAAGTATAATCCAGTAGCATTTAGTACATCTACAATGATATAAAACAGCTACCTCTGTTTCCAAATGTTCTTGTCATCCCCAAAGGAAATCTCTTTTCCACTAATCAGTCATTCCTCACTTTCCCTTCTTTTTTTTTTTTTTTTTTTTTTTTTTTTTTTGGTTTTTACGAGACAGGGTTTCTGTATTGTTTTGGAGGCTGTCGGTCCAGCCTGGCCTCGAACTCACAGAGCTCCGCCTGCCTCTGCCTCCCGAGTGCTGGGATTAAAGGCTGCGCCACCACCGCCCGGGCCACTTTTCCTTCTGCCATGTGCCCTAGCGTCAGTCTTTCTGTCTCTTAAGGATTCCTACGTTGAATATTTTATATGAACAAAATCATAAAATGTGATCTTTGCTTATTTGTTCTGGGGTTATTTTTGGTGCTGGCAATTGAACCAGGTTCTTACTAATTCTAGGCAGTACTCTAACCACTGAGCAACACTCCCAGTCCAGCATTATGATATGGTATGTGTATGTGATACATATGCATACACATGTATGTGGAAACCAGTGGAGGAAGTTGTGTGTCTTCTTCCAATGTTCTCTTCTTTATGCTCCTGAGACAGGGTCTCTACTACTTTCTGGCTAGGCTGGTGGCTAGCAAGTCCCAGAGATATCCCTGTTTTCACCCTTGCCAACATTGAGGTTACAGGAATACATGGCCATACCTGTTTTTTTATACTGGTGTAGGAAATCTGAACTCAAGTCTGCATACTTACGCAGGAAGTACTCTAACTGAGCTGTCTTTACACTCCATAAGGTTTTGGGGTTTTTATTTATTTGTTTTGTTTTGTCTTTTGACAGGATCTCACTACATAGCTCCATAGTGCTGTCTTGGAACTCACTATGTAGACCAGGCTGGCCCCTTACTCATAGAGATCTATCTCCTGGGTGCTGGGATTAAAAGCATGCACCACCACACATGGCTCTTTGTTCAACGTTTTGAGGAAGTACACAAATGGCTTCATTATTTACATTCTCATTAACGATGTCCTATAGAAAACGTGTATGGGTGTTTTGCTTGCATATGTCTGTGTACCTCATGTGGGACTGGTGCCCCTGGAGCCAGAAGAAGGAAGGCATCTGGACTAGAGTTTTAGATGGTTGTGAGCAGCCATGTGAGTGTGAGAATGGAACCCAAGTCTTCTGGAAGAGCAGCAAGTGCACCTCCGAGCCTTCCCTCCAGCCCCCAGCAGTGACCTTTTAGGATTATATCAATCCTAGTGTGAACTTTTATTTCATTGTGAGATATAATGAGACTAATAAATTCAAAATTCTCATGGAATTTTCATCATGGTTAAAGGTATTAAACATCTTCGAATGTGTTTGTTGACCACCTACCTATCTGTTTTCTTTGGACAAATGCCTATTCAAGTTCTCTGTCAATTAAAAATTGTTGCTAATATTTTTTTTTGTGTTGTGAGAGTTCTTTTATTTTGTATTCTAGAGCCTTACAAAGACTAGAATTTTTGCAAATTATTTGCAAACAATTTCTTCCTTTATGTAATTTGTCTTTTACTTTATGAAAGGAGGACTAAAGATAGTTTGTTTTTGTATTTACCCAGCTTTAGTATCAGGAAAATGCTAACTTCATATAAAGGGTCAAGAAGTACCAACCTATTTTCTGGGAGAATTTGAGAAGGATTAATATTAATCTGTTAACCGTTTGATAACATTAACAAGTGAAGTCATTTGGTCCTGGGTTTTACTTTGTTGAGTTTTTAATTATTTAAAAATTATTACTAGTTAAAATATTTACTTGTTATAGAGATGTTCAGGTTTCCTATTTCTTCTTGAGTCAGTTTTACTAGCTGATACATTTCTAGGACCATTCCCATTTCATCTAGGTTACACACTTGTCATACAATTGTGCATAGTAGTTTAAGATGTTTATTTATGTGAGGCTTGTAGTAAATAAATCCTTGAAATCTTAGTAGTTTGACTCTTCTGGGTTTTTTTCTTTATAAAAAATCAATTTTGTAGCTTCTCCACCCACTAAAAGCACTACTTTTATTTTAGGGCCCAGCTAGCCATGGGCAGTTCTCCTGCTTCAACATCCTAAATGTGAGGTTACAGATGTGTACCTTCATTCTTGGCAAAGCTAACACGCGTATTTTTGATTGCACTGATTCTACTGTTCTCAGTCTCACTTATCTCCGCTCTATGTTTTCTTTCTTCTGCTAGCTTCAGGTCTAGTTTGTGCTTCCCCACACTTGTTCTTTAAGGGAAATTTAGGCAATTTATTTATGTATTTACTTACTAACTTATTCTTGTGGTGTTGAGGGATCAAACCCAGGGTCTGGGGCATGCTGAGCACATGCTCAACCATTGACTTATATTCTCAGATCATTTAAGAGATCCCAGACAGGATCCCTTCATGTTGTCCAGGCTGGACTCAAATTCCCAGGCTCAAGCAACCCTTCTGTCTCAGATTCCCAAGTAACTGGAAATATAGGCACATGTCAGGGCATTAAGCTCTCTTTCTTATTTCATAAGTTTTGTTGTTGATGCTGCTGGTTCTAGGAAATGAGCCAAGGGCCTTTACTTGCTAAGCAAGCATTCTACTACTTACTGAGTGCCACCCCATTTGAGGTTTTAAATGTCAGTGTTTATAACTATACATTTCCCAGATAGTACTGCTTTTTATTATAAGTTTTGGTATGTTGCATTTTTTATTCATTCATCTCAAAATATTCTCTAACTTTACCTCCTTTGACCCATTGGTTAGTAAAGAGTATGTTGTTTAATTTTCACATAATTGTGAATTTTTCATTTTGCTTATTATTGATTTCTAGTTCCATTCTGTAGTACCTGAGATGACACTTTGTCTAGTCACTGTTCTATTGCTGTGGAGAGACACCATTACCATGGCAACTTTTATAAAGGGAAGCATTTAGTTGGGTTTTGCTTACATCCTGGGGTTTAGTCCACTATCATGTTGGGAAGCATGGCAGCACACAGGCAGACATGGTGCTGGAGAGGTAGCTGAGAGGGATACATCTGGATCTGCTGACAGCAGGTGGAGGGGGGCTCAGCCTAGCTTGGGAGCTTGAAACCTCAAAGCTAACCCCCAATGACACACTTTCTCCAACAAGGTTACACCCCCTAACCCCTGTCAAGAAGTACCACTTCCTAATGACAAAGCATTCAAATCTATGAGCCTAAAGAGGCTAATCTTATTCAAATCATCACACCCTTCATGAGTTTAATCCTTTCAAATGTGTTGAGATTTATCTTATGATGTAAAACATGGTTTTAGAGGATAGACCATGTAGATTTGGAAATAGTGTATTCTGATGTTGATGGGATCATAAGTGTGTACTCAGGATGCCTCAGACACTGCATGTCTAGGTATGTGTGATCCATAGGAAATAAAAATGAAACAGAAACTGGAAGTAAAAATTTCAATGCATAATAGGAGAAGGTTGGTAAAGAGAGGAATGTACTTCAAAATATGTATCTTTGACAGAATATTTTCTTCTGCTTTGGGTCTGTATTAAAACTTGAAACAGTGCCACAAACTATGATGTTAGAAAACATTAAATTCTCTATATTGTTTTATTTTTACTTCATTTTTATTTATTTATTTATTTTGAATTATGGGTTTTTCCAAATGAGTGCAGTTCCTATGAAGGCCAGGAAAGGTGTTGGATCTCCAGAAGCTGCTGGCCTCATTTTGAGTGGGTGCTGGGAACTGAACTTAGGTCCTCTGCAAGAGCAGTATCTTTCCAACATCCATTGCATTATTTTCAAAGAGGAGATTATGATGCTTAGCTCCTTTAGGAATGAAATTCTATAACCTTGTGTATTGAAATGGGCAGTAAAAGAACCTTAACTAAGTTATTTTTTCCCTAAAGGTATCCTCCAGGCCCCCCTCCAACTTCGATCCAGGCAACTATGTTGAGGTGAATGAGTCATCCTCCCACACACCCTCAAAAGTGGTGATACAGGATATTACTATGGAGCTACACTGCCCACTGTGTAACGACTGGTTCCGTGATCCACTGATGCTGAGCTGCGGCCACAACTTCTGCCAACCCTGTATCCAAAACTACTGGAAACTGCATGCAAAGGAAACATTCTGTCCTGAGTGTAAGATGCTATGCCAGTATAGCAACTGTACATTCAACCTTGTGCTGGAGAAGCTGGTAGAGAAGATTAAGAAGTTACCCCTGCTCAAGGGCCACCCACAGTGCCCAGAGCATGGAGAGAACCTGAAACTGTTCAGTAAGCCAGATGGGAAACTGATCTGCTTTCAATGCAAGGATGCACGGTTGTCTATGGGGCAGTCTAAGGATTTCCTGCAAATCTCTGATGCTGTCCGTTTTTTTACGGTGTGTGAGACCTGGGCCATGGACAATCTTTTAGGAAAACTCTTTTGGAGGGCTGCTTCTTTCTTCTGGCCTCATCCCTTTATTAAAATAATGAGAAAGTAAAGTTCGTCTCTAGAGATGTTACAAGTAGGAAAGGCACTATAAGGCAGCTATAGCTGATTCCTTCAGTTACACACGGGGTAAAGTATGAACAGAACCAGAAAAGACAATTCCTGTTATAAAAGTTTCAAATAAGTACAACAATAGAATAGTATAGAATGTGTTATTGAGATCTAAGTTTTGTCACATTTGTAATTCCTATGTGTTTAGAATTTCTGAGAGGGTCAGGGGATATACAATGAAGGAAAGGTGTGAAACTAGAACTGTGAACTCATTTGGATTTGGATGGGCAGAAGGAAGAAAGAAATGTTCCAATGGGAATGGCATATGGAAAGGGGGTCCAGATGTAGTTCAGTAGCCTTCTCAAATCTAGACAAGAAGATGTCAAAACTGTTTTTGTTGCTTCTTTTACTCACAAATTTTGTTTTGGTGGTCCTGGGGATTGAGCCCAGGGTGTATTGTAAGCAAAACAAATATTATGCTATTGAGTTAACCTTCAGGCCTAGTCACAATTCTCAAAAGAGACAGGAATTACGACACAGTGGAAGGGTAAGATGCCTTTGTTGCAAGAGTTTACTTGAGCGAACACAAACTTAGAGAAAAATGAGGGAGAACTCCGGGGTGGGGGGACTCCAAAGAAGGAATACCTCAGAGCTTTTTTTATTTCCTGACACATCATGTCCGTGTATGTCTTTTCTACCACCCTTGTGTGTGTGTCTGTGTGTGTGTGTGGTGTGTGTGTGTGCGCACACTTGTGAGACAGACACAGAGACTGAGGTTGAGAGAGAGTACAATGTGAAGGAGTTGGTTCTCTTCTTCCATGTTGTGGTTTCTGGAGACTGAACTCGGGTTGACAAGCTTACCAAGGAGTTCTTTTGCCCACAGAGCCATCTCACCCATCCCAGCAATGAGCTTACTTTACATTTAATAGTTCCTTACATTAAAAGTTCTATGTTCAAACAAATACTGGTGTGCCTTCTGTACCCTGGCTCAGTCTCTTCTGGAGCCAGCACTGGACTCCCCTCCCTGCCGTTTGTTTACCCATTCCCGGTCCACACCCGCCTCCCTGTGCTATTGGCACAGCTCTCTGCCTGTTGCACAGAAGTCTCTCTGTGCTATAGGCATGTGTGCATGCATGCGTGTAGAGGCTGGAGGAAAACTTTAGGTTGTACCTTAAGTACTTGCCCACCTTGTTTTTAGAGACAGGGTTTCTCACAAAAACCTGGGATTTCAGATTAGGCTAGGCTGGCTATTTGGCCAGCAGGCCCCAGGGATCTGTCTGTCTCTGTCTCCTCATCACTGGATTTAAACGTGTGCCACCATGCCCTGCCTTTTACATAAGTGCTGGGGATCAAACTCAGGTCCTCACATTTGTGTGGCAGGCACTTTACTGACTGAGCCATCATCTCTCCAGCCCCTGGGGATATGCTTTGTTTTCTTTATCTCCAAAACTGCTGTGGGTTAATTCTATTTGCTATTTCTAGGAGGAGCTTGCCATCTATCAGAGCCAAATTCAGACAATCCTGAAGGAGCTTCAGTCTCTCAGAACTATGCAGAAAGATGCTATTGCTGCTTACAAGGTGAGGGGCAGGGGAAAGGGCTCGTGAAGCAGAGCTACAATATACCCTTCCCGTAACACCAGCTGTTTCAAGATACTAAATGGCACCTGGGTTACAGAATTAGTACTATTTCACTGCAGGATAGGAAGACACATATGGTGGGAAAGGTTCCCAATATTGCTCAATTGAACAGATTAGCTTTTGTCCTAACAGGCTGACTCTTTTGATGGCTAAGCCATTAGGTGAACAATGTGGTATTGATATCTGCTTGTTCTGCCCCTTCATCTATGGCAAAATAAGGGCTTTACCAGTAAAATCTACCAAAGACTGCTACATTCAAAGAAATACTTTTATTTCCTTTGAGTTTTATTATAACCAGGTACCTCTGAACCATGGACTCTTGGATTATATTTCCCCCATCTGATATATGTTCCTTAACTGCTCCCAAACTATGTAAAGCTATTGCTTATACATGCCTATCCACTTTAGGCTATACAGGAGTGCTAAACAATACTAATAGTAAAGATTCAGCAAATAGGGCTGAAGAGATGTCTCAGTGGTTAAGAGCACTGGTTGCTCTTCCAGAAGTCTTGAGTTCAATTCCCAGTAATCACACGGTGGCTCGCAACCATTTATGGTGGGGTCTACTGCCCTCTTCTGGCATAAGTGTATGCATGCAGACAGAAGTTGTAAATTGGTATCTAGGTTAGGAGCTAAATTGGAACTTCAGTTTCTTCATTATTTACCCTATATAGGAAAGTCCTCTTTGGCATTTGGCATCTAGAAAAATATGTAGCCTCAGGGGAAAGATAGATGGAGCTAAGGATGTTTCCAGAGAATTTGTTATTGTTTCCTAGTTCAGATACTACAGCCAATATTCACTCAACAAATATTTATTGAATGGGTCAAGGCATTAAAATCCTATACTAGAACCTGAGTTTGGGAGACAGGTATTAAATGATGCCAATAATACCAATAAAATAACAATAGTGACTAGTACTATATGATATGAAAATATAGTATCAGAGAGATCTAAGTGGAAAATCTAATTTAGGTTGTGGAGAAATACACTCTGAAGAAGCCTCTTGAGCTGGAGATGCACTTAGTTGGTAGAATACTTGCCTAGCATGCATGAAACCTTGGGTTTTATCACCAGTTACATAAACTGGGCACTCAGGAGGTAGAAGGAGGAGGATCAGAATTTCAAGGGCATCATTGGCTACATACTGAGTTCTAGGCTAGCCTGGGACACAGGAAACCCACTCTCAACTTTTTTAAAAAAAGGACTAAAGGATGAATAACTTAATCAAATGAATTGAGCGAAGGGAATATGAAACAAACACCCTGGAGAAGAGGGTAGTAGAGATAGGGAAAGATACAAGGAAAAGTCCAGAAACAGTAGGTTAAACAGAAAAATGTCCAATAAAGCTAGAGCATGCTAAGCAAGGCATACCAAAGAGCCAGATATGGCCCAGTCAGGCATGCCTTTGTACGGAAGACATTAAATATTTTTTCCTTTTTTATTACATTTTTTTTTTTAGTAAAGAGCTTGCTTCACACGTCAATCCCAGCTCCCTCTCCCTCCCCTCCTCTCACACCTCCCCACCATCAACATTAAATATTTTTGAATATTTGAATCCTTGGATACTTGATTTTGCCACATGAGAAATAAAGAATTGTTATCAAGACAGTTTTATCCAATTTTGAAAATGTCTTATTGCTGTATGGAAAAAGGGTTATAGAGACAATAACAAGATCATATGGTTAGAAAACTGTTGACTAGACTAAAGAGCAGTGTCTGCACAGAGATAAACAAGAGCATGTGGTATAGGGAGCAAACTACACAGAAGTGGTGATTGATTAGCTAAGAGGAGTGAATAGCAGTATCAGATTTGGGTTGAGGAGTCTGGAGAAAAGCTATCAGCATTAGATGGCATTGAAAGCTGCGAGAGCGGGGGAGGACACACGACACTGCCTAGAAAGTGAAGAACGAGCTGAGGACAGAATACTAACTAATTTTAATATTTCAAATAAATGTGGTTAGAGGATGTGGAAGCAGCTAGACTGGGAAATCATGAGAAAGGTGAAAGGGAAACTGGAAACACATGGGTTAGAAGAACAGTTAAGACTATGTTAAGAGCTTGATAATGATTACCTCTGGACAGACCATGAAGATAGAAGTTGATTAATAGAAACAGAGGGGGTCAATGATTACAAACTTACTTTGTTTTTTCTTGAGACAGGGTCTCTCCATGTAGCCCCTGCTGTCCTGGAACTCACTATGTAGACCAGGCTAGCCCCAAACTCATAGAGGTTTGCCTGTTTCTGCCCCTGTCCCTTCCACCAAGTGCTGGGATTAGAGCCATGCACCACCACGCTCAGGTTGAATACAAACTTTCACTGAGATTCAACAGTACTGCAGTAGGGAGCAAGTGGACTTGGAGATGATACATTCTCTGGAATTATAAAATTCTATGTGTAATTGGGAATAAGTGGAGAAAGCTGGAAGCCATTAGAAATGAAGACAATGAGGAACCAAGAAGACAGGAGAGAGTTCATCAGGGAGGAAGCTGTACACACACACACACACACACACACACACACACACACACACAAACACACCCCTACCTACCTACCTCACACGTGCAAACTGCGAGTATCACAATTATTAATTTAGCACTTTACACATTGTTCATATCCTGTTTCTTTTATGTTGTCCCGGTAGCAAGAGCAGTTCTGGTTTTAAAAGGACAGTTGTTCCAGGTTCCTTATGGTCCTAGTTTAATAGCATCGCTTGGTAGATACTATTTTGTCAATCTAGGAAGGTATTGTTAGTATTAATTTAGAATGTCAGGTGCCTTTAATGCCAGCATTCCAGAGGCATAGGCAGTCAGATCTCTGAGTTCAAGGCCTGCCTGGTATACAGAGTGAGTCTGGACAACTAAGGCTACACATAGAAATCCTGTCTCGAAAAACCAAATAATAATAATAATAATATTGTTTTAGAATGTTTTATTGACTCCACAACATTTAATAGAGCACTAGTTATTATCCAAATACTGAGAAAAAATGAAAACAAAACCTTCCCTTTTACAACATTAAACTAGCTGGGAAAGAAGGAATAAGCCTTCTAAAGGGCTCTGTTTAGTAGGATTGAATGTTGATGCTAAGCAGCCATTTGTATGGAATTTTCCAAGGTGTGTTGTGTGATGTGAGACCGTCTCTAAGTGCTAGTCTCAGTAGTAATTGTGGTGATGATTATGGAGGTTTCCAGGACAACAAGATACAACTGCAACAACACCTTTCCTTGGAGTTTCTAAAGCTGCATCAGTTCCTGCACAACAAAGAAAAGGACATTCTAAATGAACTCCGGGATGAGGGGAAAGTCTTGAATGAGGAGATGGAGCTGAATCTGAATCAGCTTCAGGAACAGTGTCTTCTTGCCAAAGACATGCTGATGAACATTCAGACACGGATGGAACAGCAGAATTCCTTCAACTTCCTCAAAGTGAGATTCCATACCAATTTGATTATGGGTACACTTGAAGGAGGGAAGAGGGCCTGGAGTTGTGGAGGGAAGGAAAGCAAAGCCCAATCCAATCCAATCCAATCCACCCACCCCACCCCTCCTCACCTCACCCCACCCCTCCCCACCCCACCCCACCCCACTGCAGTGCTTTAAGATCCTCTGGGAGAAGCTGCTTTTGCTTTATGTTCATTAGAAAGCTGTGCTTCCATCTTCCTATGAAACATGTTTAGCGCAATTTCATAAATAATGTTATATGAATCAATATTTTTATTTTCCCATAAAGAACCTTGTAGTTGGAGTCACAGTTATTTTTCAAAAATATGTCTCTGATAGCCTTTGTTGAGTTTTGGGCTTACAGAAATCATAAAGTGAACTATTTAAAAATCTATTTGCCAAACTTTGCTACCTGAAGTCTCATCTCTAAAGCAACTCTGGTAATCACTTTAGTACTCACAAGTTTGGGCACCTTTGGTACTGGAATTGCTTCTGATCTTTTCTTGTGGGAGTATTTGGAATTGCTCACTTAAAAAAAAAGTTGACCGTAACTATCAACTTATGGCTCCTCTCCTGTCTCCTAAAGAGCTGGAATCATAGAAATCAGTAGGTTAGCAGATGACAGAACAGTTTATCACGGGTTAGATTGGGGTGCTGATTAGAAAAAGCCTGTGGACGATGAAAATTGTTGTTGAAGATGGACTGAGGACCACTTGCACAGGAAGCCAGGATTGATGATTAAACATGGATGGTGATCAGAATAACCAGACAGATTTCTAGAGATGATAAACAGGCACCTGACAGCTGTATTTCTCCTTTTTTCCTTTAGGACATCACAAAGCTCTTAGATAGGTAAGTGCTTTTCCATGGTACTCTATCCCCTTCCTTCTGCCCCTGGAGGATGTCTAAAAAAATAAACTATTTGTGTCCCTTACAGTATGGAGAAAGGAATGAGGGCACTCATACCCAGACAGCTTATCTCCAAAAAGCTGAGTCCAGGCCGCTTCAAAGGTCCCATCCAGTATATGGTCTGGAGGGAAATGCAGTCCATTCTCTATCCAGGTATAGTGGGAAGTAGCTACTCATTCCTATGGCCCCTAATCTATATTTCATCTTTGGGGCCTCTGCTGTGGCCCAAGTTAGTTCTTTAGCTTGAGACCGGATGGAGATGGATGTGGGTGGAGTTTTAAGATTTGTTTATTTTTGTATTTTATGTACATGAGTGCTCTTTCTGCACGTATTCCTGCATGGCAGAGAGGGCATCAGATCTCATTGTAGATGGTTGTGAGCTACCACGTGGTTGCTGGGAATTGAACTCAGGACCTCTGGAAGAGCATCCAGTGCTCTTAACTGCTGAGCTATCTCTCCAGTCCTTTGGTGGAGTTTAGTCAAAAAGACATTTTCTTTTTCTCCTGCTGCTATGGTCTAAGAATGTGTGTCTTTGAACTAACAATACATAAGAGTCTGGTATTAGAATTACTCCTCAGCCTATGATTTTGTTTGCTCTAGAATGTGTAGATGGCCACAATTTTATACTGTTTTGCTACATCAGGTGTATGATTCTCTGGAGTGTCTCTACTCTGAAGGCATTTGCCACACATACTCTTTGTATATATTTAGTCTTATATTTTTGGTTGTGAGCCTAGCCTTTAACGGCTGAGCCATCTCTCCAACCTATATTTAGTCTTTATAGGTCTTTTAGTGCTTGATAGTCATAGCATAGAGGACAATATCATAAGAGAGTGTTAGAGATCACTGGTACTTAGGCTAAGACCAGTTTTTCAGAAGAAAATCGTATCTAATTTCAGTCAATATGTTTAATGAGCATGTTTTTGTGTTCTTGCAAATATCAAAGGACTGCTGAGCAGTCGTGGCGCACATCTTTAATCCCAGCACTCAGGAGGCAGAGGCAGGTGGATCTCTGTGAGTTCGAGGCCAGCCTTGTCTACAAGAGCTAGTTCTAGGACAGCCTCCAAAGCCACAGAGAAACCCTGCCTTGAAAAACCAAAAAAAAAAAAAAATAGGACTGAACAGGACAAAATAACACAAGTGGTATTCCAAGAAAAAGAAACAGTATTCTAGATAAGATGTGTTAGAAATAAAAGTTTAGATAGCTTTCACAAAGTTCCTATAGATATTATTATTGTTTGTTATTAACCTAGTTAAAATCATAAATACATCCCAGTCACATCTTCCAGGTGACTAACACTGCAAGAAAACAACTTCAATGAAGTATAATTAATAGAGCAGAATCTGCTGTATAAATTAATTAGTTTTAATAAACAGGTACATATCTGTGTGATCAAGAAATAGCTAGACAGGGGCTGGGGAGATAGTTTAGTGGGTAAAGTGTTTGCTGAACAAACACGAGGACCTGATTTGAATCCCTAGTTCCTAGGTAAAAAGTGAGGCATTGTGGCACACAACTGTAGCCCAGCACTGGGGATGGAGTTGGGGAAAAATGTAGACCTAAGGAGGCTTGCTGGGCAGCCAGCCCAGTTGGAAGAGTGAGTTCCAGATTTCAGTGAGAAGCCTGTCTCAAAAAATAAGAAAGAAAGTGATTGAGACACCCAAAGTGGGCCTCTGATCTCCACATGCATGTATACATGCATAGGCATACTTGTGGACACAAATATGTGCACATACATACACACACACACACACAGATATGTCTTTTTGCAATCAGTTCTTTCTGTATAGTTCTAGCCCTTAATGCTTGCTGATCTGCTTTATTTCACTTTGGAAGCGTCTTTTCAAACTTTTGATTTAAGATAAATCACACATTACAGTTCTGTGTGTCTGCATTTTTTGCACTTACCACAGCACTTCCTTTGATTCACCTATGCAGCTGCATATAGCAATACTTTTGTTTAATGGATGGGCTATTAAGAATACAGTTGTGTCAATCTGTTTACAAATCTATTACAAAACAGATTACAAACCTATTTACAAATGGCAGGAAAAATGGCATTTTTCCTACTTTCTTGACAAAACTTGTTATTGTCAATCTTTCTAATTTTAACTATTTAACCTTAAGAATAGTAATATTTTATCACTCTTTTAATGTATATATCTCTAATGTCTAATCTTGTTGAACATCTCTCTACATGGTTCTCTGCCATTCCTATGCCTTGTTGGTGAGATATATTCAATCTTTTTGGATCGTTTTAACATTAAATTATAAAGGAACAAGTTTGTTATCAGTCATGTTTGTTTAAAAAGGATTTAAAGAAACAAACAAAAGAAAACTGTGTGTGTGTATGAGTTTGTTCTCCTGAGTGTGACTGTCAACAGAGGCCAGAAAAGGGTATTAGATCCCCTGGTACTAGAGATCAGACAGTTGTGAGCCGCCTGACATCAGTGCTGGAAACAGAACTCTTCTGAAAGAGTGGTATTATGTGCTCTTAACTTCTGAGCCATCTCTCCAGCCACAGATTACTTTTTTGATGGTTTCTTTTTTCATTTAAGGTTTTTGAGATAGAGTTTTTTGTAGCCCAGACTGACTGAGAGTTCTGTTGTTTCTATCTCCCAAGTGTTAGGATTATGGGCATGCACCTGATATAAAACATTAAACAGTAACAACAACAACAAAACCAGGATCTCATTATGTTGCTGAGGCTGGCTTTGAAATTAGGATCTTTCCATCTCAACCTCCCAGGTGCCAGAATTATGGGTGTGTGCTACAGTTCCAACTGAGTTTTAGTTGACACATGGTATTTGTCTGTATTTATAGGATGTAATATAATATCCAATACATGTATGCAACATATAATAACTAACTCATGGTAATTAGTATTTATATTTCCTCAAACATTTATCACTTCTATGTGCTGGAAACTTTTGAACTCTTTTAGTTGTTTAAAAATATATAATAAAGCTTGGAGATATAGCCCAGTAATAGAGTGCTGGCCTCGAATATACAAGGCCCTAGGCTCAACCTCCAGTATTGCCAACATAACCACTAGGTATATATGATTACCATATTTTGCTATAAAACTCTAAAGTTAACATCTATCTCACTGTATTTTGGTATCTATTATCCTATCATTCTACCCCATCCTTCCCAGCCTCCAAATGATCACTAGTCTATTTCTTTTTTTTTTATGAGACAGGGTTTCTCTGTATTGTTTTGGAGGCTATCGGTCCAGCCCGGCCTCGAACTCACAGAGATCCTGCCTGTCTCTGCCTCCCGAGTGCTGGGATTAAAGGCATGTGCCACCACCGCCCGGCTCACTAGTCTATTTCTATGAGACAAACTTCCTTAGCTTTTATATATTTTAAAAGAAATCTTCACCTGTCATGGAATTCTATTAATGTACAATGCAATATAAATTAATTACTTACAAACGTGAAATTAAAGATTGTTTACAAAGTATAAGCCTGGTTTTATAATTACCAGATTCAAATGACATAAAGTTACTTGGTTAGATTGCCATAAAAATTTCTAATGTTTGCTTTCATTGTCTGTATTATCTTGTCCCAGGCTGGTAACCACATAATTTGTGGACTCCATTCTGAAGAGCAGTGGCACATACCACTGATGGGGGATGTCCTTCTGTATGCTGTGAATATATGTTTCTCTTATTGGTTGGTGAAAAAAGTGGTTTTGACCAATGGACAGGCAGGAAGTATAGGCAGGGCTACCAGACTAGGAGAATTCTGGGAAGAGGAATGCAGACAGTGAGTCACCAGGAAGATGCCATGTAGCTACCAGTAACGTAGGATGTCCGGGCATTTTCCAGTAAGCCAAGGCCATGTGGAGATACACAGATTAATAGTTACAGGTTAAGAATTAAAAGAGAGCTAGCCAGTAAAAAGTCCAAGTCATTGGCCAAACAGTTTATAATTAACATAAACCTCGGTGTGTTTATTTGGGACCAAACAGCTGTAGGACCAGGTGGGACAGAAAATGCAGTCCATATACCACTCTAGATCTCCAATGTTAAACCAAATATAATCTCTACCAGGTATCTCAGTCTTCCCTAGCTCTAACAGATAGTCTCTCATACACTGGCAACTAACTGCATTTAATCTACCTTTCCCTCTCTGCTTAACCAAAGTACACATCTCCTATGTTATATCCCCACTGAAATACTCTCCTTAGTTAGGTTTCCTAGAACAACCTCACCTAATTTTGCCCCTTTGGTATTAGTCCAGATTCACATTATTTGTATTGTTTCCTTCAGTAGAACATAACTTACTTAAGAGCAAAGGCTGATTTTATCCCTAATATAAAAAGGCCTAGAAATAGCAACATGGATACCAAACAATAGAAAGTATATAAGAAATTTCCTGACTAAGGGCTTATGCATATTGGGATGAAAATACAAGTATTATTTCTTACTATGGAAAATTGCATTCACCTCCTTTCCCCTCTTCCCTGCTATCTCATTTTCTTACTAGGCCTATCTCAATTAACTCTGGATCCTAAAACAGCTCATCCAAATCTGGTACTATCCAAAAGCCGGACAAGTGTGTGTCATGGTGATGTTAAGCAGGTAATGCCTGATGATCCAGAGAGGTTTGATTCAAGTGTGGCTGTACTGGGCTCAAAAGGCTTCACCTCTGGAAAGTGGTACTGGGAAGTAGAAGTAGCAAAGAAGACAAAATGGACAGTTGGAGTCGTCAGAGAGTCCATCATTCGGAAGGGGAGCTGCCCTCTGACTCCTGAGCAAGGATTCTGGCTTTTAAGACTAAGGAACCAAACTGATCTAAAGGCTCTGGATTTGCCTTCTTGTAGTCTGAAACTGGGTGATCTCAACAGGGTGGGCATCTACCTGGATTATGAGGGAGGGCAGTTGTCCTTCTATAATGCTGTGACCATGACCCATCTTTACACCTTCAGTAGTCTTTTCATGGAGAAACTTTTCCCCTACTTCTGCCCCTGCCTTAATGATGGTGGAGAGAATAAAGAACCATTGCACATCGTACATCCACAGTAATTAGTCATACTATTGTATAAATTCAGAGCGTTATTAAAGTATTGAAATAGTTTACCAATTTCACTGGATTCTCTTTCCAATTTATGGGGAACTCTGACATAAAAAGTAGGATTCACAAACTGAGTTACATTTCAGTTTCCTACATGGATTTTTCTGGAGCCTTTCAAGATAACATTCTACTTCTCTGGGGTCTTCTAGGACATAGGAGTTTCCCTGAGTATGATCTTCCTGTCTTGTTTCTGGAGCAAGCTGCAACTTGATTTTGTGATGCCTGGAAACTCTTTTAGAACATGCTGTCAGCATAATGAGTCTCTGAGAGGATGAATTTTCACATCTATACTTTTCCTCCCGTTTAATCATCTATTTTTTCTTTGCTGCTGGAATTTAATTATAAAATTTCATCTCATTTCTTTTCCAAAACATGTTGCTGTAAATTTGAAATTTTTCTCCAGAGACTTAAAGTAGAAAATGGCCTAATTAGCTTATTAATTATGTCTTCATACATTCACTCAACATACTTTTTAGTCTAAAATCTTTTATTCTTTTTCTTCTTGTCAGTTTTTTCCTGCTTTATTAGTGAGAGTTACCTGTTTCCCCTATATTAAAATACATCCATGTTTCCATCTGCTTTGATTCTGTCCTTTTTCATCAGCACTATCTATATTTCAATTAGCAGCATTTTTCACCCTATCTTTTCAACATGTTTATTCTATGGCCTGTTCCTTCTTTCTAGGTTTAGAGTTTTTGATATCCACAGTACTTTTGATGAAATGGCCCTATTTCCCTTTTTTTGGAATTTCCCATGTAAAATTGCTTTTATATGGAACATGTTTATATTTATAACAGATGATTTTGGTAACTAGCACAACATGATTAAAAGGCTACATTTAAAATTTACTATTTTTTCTAAACAAAATATCTTATTTTTTATTTATGTGTATGTATCTGAGTGTATGCCCCACGGGTGCAGTAGCCTGTGGAATACCAAAGAGGATACTGAATCCCTTGGAGCTGGAGTTATAGGTCATTGTGAGCGGCCTGATTGGGTGCTGGGACCAAACTTGGGTCCTCTGAAAGATCAGGACATGCTCTTAATCACTGAGCCATCTGTCCAGCCCCTTACTATGTCTTTTAATGACTTTACTTCAACCAGAATGTGATGAGGACTCATTGTGAGCCTGGAACTTTGCTTGGTGTCATCACTGTCTCCCCTCTTCTCCCCTATCAACTAATGTACTTTCTTAATTATTTCTAATAATACACAATAATTAAGGCAGGTGATAGATATGTAGAGGTTTAATGAGAATAATAATAAAATACTATTAACAACTTAGCTTTAGAACCCAAACAATAGTGAAACATTGGTGGCTACTATGTGCCTCTTTCAGTCTTCAGGTATTAACTACTCTGTTTTGTATTAAAACCTAAGATACGACCTGGAGAGATGGCTCAGCACTTACTACTCTTGCAGAAGATCCAGGTTTGGTTCCCAGCACACACAGGGCTGCTGCTTATAAATACCTGTAATTTCAGTTTCGGGGAATTCATGCTTTCTTCTGACTTCCTCAGGTTCCTGCACACATGGAGTATGCACGCATACTCAGACACACACATACATACTCATAATGAATAAATAAATGTTCTATATAAAATTATTTTAAAATATAAACTGTTGCTGTTTTTCTATACATGTATTATTTTATTTTTTCTCTATATAATTTCATGTATTTCCAAAATATATATTTTCATTTTATCACTTCATTTGAACTTGAAAATAAATTGTATGGTGTTGTATGTCTTCCTGGCCTTTTTGGAAATTCAAAATTATGATGTATTAGTATTCCTTCCATTATCCATGGTTTCGTGTTCCACAGTTACAATTGTCTACAGTCAATCAAGGTCTGAAAATATCAGTGGGAAATTCCAGAGATAAATGATTCATTAATTTAGAATTGTGGTTCTGAGCACTGGTGGTGCAACTCAGTGGTAGAGACTTATGATGTATGAAGGTTTGGGTTCAATCCCCAGGACTGCATAAACAAACAAATACAAAAATAAATAAAATATCCAGTTCTGAGTAGTATGATAAAATCTTATGCCCTCCTACTCCTCCCACTTGGGATTGATAGAGTAGCATATTCATAATATATATACTAACTTCCTCATGGTAGTTGAGAGAAAACACATTAACTTTTGTTCAATATATTCTTATAATTGCTCTATTTTATTATTGTCAATCTCTTTCCATGCCTTACTCATAAATTTAAATTTGTCATAGCTATATGTGTGTAGTGGTGGGAAGTATTATAGTACATAGAGTGTCTGGTATTAGCTTCTGGTATACATTTGGGATATGCTTAAGGACTATTGTATTTCACTCCATGAAAATACAGTAATTCAGGGTCAATAGTGGGTAAAGACAGTTGCTGCCAAGCCTGATGACCTGAGTTTGATCCTTAGGGTCCACATTGTGGAAAGAGAGAACTGATTCCCTCAAGATGTCCTGTGACACTTCCACATCTAAACCATGTCACCTCTCAAATAAAGAAATAAACATAATTAAAAAATTTAAAGGAGAGACGGTAATTGAAATACCCATTGTACACTGATTGTTTCCATTTCCCCTTTCTGTTGTTGTTGATGTTAGCAATTAAGCTGCCATAAACATTCTATGTATACTGCTGTATGTGCACATGGGAGCAAGAGTTTCCACAGTGTATATGTGATAAATGCTGGGTGACATTAGACACATAACTTTAAGTAACCCTGGATTGTTGATCAAAGTGATAGCATATATTTATTTTCTCACTAGCAGCAGCAGTAGGAATTCCTCTGACTCTGTCTTTGCCAATCCACTTTTAATTAATAAGGTCAGTATGTAATCGTATGTCATTGTGGTTTTATTTTGCATTTTTGTAATTACCATGAGATTAGGCATATTTTCATGTGTTGGAGATTTGTGGGTCTTTTTGTAGAAAGTCAATTCAGATGTTTACTGAATTTTTTAATTGGGTCATTTCTCTTTTATTGTTTCATAGGTTACTTATATATTCTGGATACTAATCCTTTGTTGATTATTTGCACCGCAGGTACCTTTCCCATTTTCTGACTTGTGTATATTCACTCTAATTATGGTGACTTTGATGAAGAGAAGTTTAATGGAGTCAAATTTGTGTAGTTTTTTTTTGTCATGGTTAACACTGTCTCAATTAAAAAGAAATCCTTTACTTGGGGACAAAAATATTCTCTTGTATTCTGTGTGTCTTGAGGTTTTGCCTTTCAGATTTAAGTTCTCAATGGTTCAAACAAACAGAAAATAACAAGTGTGAGTTTATTAAAAGCAGTGTCTGTAGTGCAGTATGAGGTCTGCACACAAATAAAAATTTGACATGTAAGAATTAATTGATAGATCCATAAGACTTTTACATGGCTTTCCTACTAATTGACAGAGAATCAGATAATATGAGTAATTTTACCCAATGAACATATACACAGAACACTATATCCTAGAATATCTAAGAGAATTATTTTTTAAAGATAAAACCTTACTGGCTATATACTTCCATTATAAAGAAAAGGCTAACAAACTTGATTCAAACGAGTTGATCAAACAGACCAGTGTTTTAATGCAGCTAAGCCATAAGTAACTATACTTAGAATTAGAACAGAATATGTACTTGAAAAATTTAAAATATATCAGCATGTATAGCTGTGTATGCCTATAATCTTCACATTTGGGAGTTGAAGTATAAGATCACAAGTTTGAGGCTAGCCTGTGATCATATGGAAACTCTTTCATAAACAAAACAAAAAAAATCAAATAACCCACTTAATAAAATGTTCTGCTGAAATCTGAGAATAAATTGAACCAAGCAATAAGTAAGACATGACATCTTTTTTTTTTTTTTTTTGGTTTGTTTGTTTTTGTTTTTTCCGAGACAGGTTTCAGGCTGTCCTGGAACTCCCTCTGTAGACCAGGCTGGCCTTGTACTCACAGAGATCCCCCTGCCTCTGCCTCCCGAGTGCTGTGATTAAAGGTGTGCTCCACCAATGCCCAGCCAAGAAATGACATCTTAAAAAAAAAACCTGTGATACTCAGTTTAAAAGAAACGTCATAGCCTGGCCCTACTGGGTGTGTTTGTGCCGACTCTGGGTCCATTTCACTGAGTTCTACCCTCAACAGCATGCAAACAGGACATAGTGACACAGGCCTGTGACCACAACACTCTGAGGTGGAGGCAGGAGATCCACAAATTCAAGGCCATGTTCAGTTGAAGTTCAAGACCAGCTTAGGTTATAAGAGACTGTCTCGAAATAACAAGAAAATATGATATAGGGGAGTGTCAAGATGGCTCTGCTGATAGAAACCTCTTGCCACCAAGTTGACCACCCAAATTCAATCCCTGGAACCCACGTTGTGGAAGTAAAGAACCAATTCCTGAAAGTTGTCTTCTTACTTACCTACACAGCCAGCCAGCCAGCCAGCACACACACACACACACACACACACACACACACACACACACACACACACACACACACACAATGATACCATCACTAAATCTAAAAATAATTCTTACCATTGGAGAGATGGCCCAGGGTTTAAAAACACTGACTACTCATTCAGAGAACCCAGGTTCAATTCCCAGCACCCGCATGGTGGTTTACGACAGCCTCAGTGAGCTAGCCGGTAATTCCAGCTGTGGTTCGGAGGTGCATCAATCAGCACGCTATGAAATAGCGAGGTCCAAGCCATGCTGGATTATATGAAACTTTCTAAAATATGCTATATATATGTATACACACATGCACACATACATACATATATACATACATACATACATACATACATACATACATACACACACATATTTATTACTCCGCGTTTAAAACTCACCGGGTTCAGTGAACTCTGTCCTCCGCAGCTATTCTCTCAACTGTGGTAGTTCAGCGTCTCTTTGCTTCCCGAGGTCTTTCCCGCCCTTTCCTTTTGGGAACCAATCATCAAGCTTGGTTTCAGACCAATCAGCAGTCTCGGCTCTAGGCCCCGCCCAGGAGCCTGGAGGCTGGGGCGCCATGTTCCAGAGGCAGCGTGGTTGGTTCTGTCGCAGCGTCAGTCAGGACTTGAGGCAGTTCTGGGGTAGGAGGACGGGCGGGGCAGAACGTGGGAGCCAGAGTGTCCTCATGAGGCCCTCCTCCGCCACCGGGGTTGAGGCTTGCCCTGCTCGGCGCTCACACGTGCTCTTGTCTCCGCAGTGGACGAAGGGGGGACAGTCAGCGAAGCCCAGGCCGCAGACTTCCTGTTCAGCTGTGATGCCTCGCACCCGGACACGCTGAGGTACCCCGGGCCACCGCTAGAGCCTTTCCTGTCATCTCTGCCATCGTGTGCCTAGAGCCACGAATGGTAGTAGCAGTCCAGTTATCAACACAGGGGAACAAGTTTGCAGCCGTAGTCATGGACATGCCTTTCTCTTCCTTCCTCCCTCCCTCCCTCCTTCTCTCTCTCTCTCTCTTTCTTTTTTGGTCTATTTTCTTTGTGACAGGCTCTTGCAGTGTAGCCCAGGCTAGCCTTGAGCGTCATGCTCTTCCTGTCTTGGCATACTAAGTGCCAAGATTTCAGGTGTGTGTCAACAGACTGGGCTCTCTGGCATCTTAGCCTTCTATTGCCGCGAATGCATTGGTGCCTAATACCTCGGAACTGGTCCCAGTACTTCATCCTCATCCTCATTGCTGCTTTTACTAGCACTGTAATTACACCTTGCCAAGACTGTCACAGGAGCTTCCCAAGAGGTTTCTATGCTTCCACCTGTGAGCTGCCATCTCCTTTCATAATTACTGTCAAGTGTTTGCTGAGCAGAGATCTGCTCCTGGCCCGCCCTCACCCCACTTACCTACAGGGTTAGACTTAGCTAGAGCCTCTTTAATTTTCCTTGCCTTTCACAGTCTAGTCAACCTCAAGTGTCGTTATTGTTCCTTCATGTATGTCTTTTTTTCTAATGTCTTCTCTCCCTCTTTTCACAGGCCTAGAAAAGATGTTTTCTGTATGTGAAGTCTTCTCTAACTGAATGCCCACTCTTTACCTCAGAACTCATTGGTTTATTTTAATGGCAGTAACTATGAGTAAAACTCGTTGGGCTGCTGGCTTTTAGTCACGTTGATGGCCTACTAACTACTCTTTTTGGTCTTTTTAAATTCATACAATCATTTACCAACTCTAAAGCTGAGATTTGCCTACACTTAGGTCCCCAAACCAAGTAATATACCTGAAATGTACTCATTCTTGCCAGGAAAAAAAAAAAGGACCATTGTAAATGTATTCTTTAATGTTAACACTATACTACTTCTGTCATTTGTTTTTCTTTTGAAAGGTTGAACGCATTCCTCTCTATTTCATAACCTAGAAGATTTCCTTTCTTCTAGAATATATCAGAGCCTCGAGTACATAGAAGATAATGCTACAGTATTTCATGCCTACTATCTTTCTGCGGTAGCTAATACTGAAATGAAAAACTCCGTGGCCTTAGGCCACTTTGTTCTTCCTCCTGCATGTCTGCAAAAAGGTTAGCAAAGATCATAAACCCATCTGTTTGCCAAATCCAGCCAATCCCTATTAAGATAACCAATTTTAATCTTACCAATTTCTGTTCTCAATTGGAAATTTTGTGGTTTTTTTTTTTTTATCTTTTTGGTTTTTTTTCTTTAGTGTCTCACTCTGTATCCCAGTCTCTTGAGTCCTGGGATTATAGGTGTGAACCAGATACCCACAGAAAATTTTGAATCATTTAAAATAAATGGAACAAATATGGATTTGGGATCACATACCTTGAGGGAATATTTTGGCTTTCTTCTTTCACACAGTCATTACGGTTTCTTTGTTTGCCAGGTTACAACCCAGGTGCTGGAGTTCAATGGTGAATAAGAGTCAGATATTACCCCCAAAGTCAAGTGCTCACCAGCTAAGATCCAACACTTAGTTTGTATTTAGGAAGGTTTTTATTGCATTGTATTGTATTTGTTTTGAGGCAGGGTCTTACTGTGTGGTCATGGTTGGCCTGGAGCTCACTATATAAACCATACAGACTTCAAACTCACACAGATTCACCTGCCTGCCCCCCCCATCCCAAGTGCTAGGATTAAAGATGTGGACCACCAAGCCCAGCAGTTTTGTGATCTAACATGCTATTGACTTTTTCCAAGTGATTTTGAGGATAAAATGAGATAATAGATTAAGGTATATGACATGTGGTAAATATTTGATACATGTGTTGTTTGCTAGTGCGAATCTCTTCATTCTGATTTTTCATTATTTGTTGTAATAAGTTCATATTTGTATTTTTCATTATACTTTTGAAAGTACTTTCACATTATCTCAGCAACCATATGAAGTAAGAAGGAAAAGTAAGTGAACTGTTTTTGAGATTGGACTTTTCAGTTTTCCTTGCTTGGAACATGTTCTTAGCATGTTTGTCCAATGATTAACCTAGGTTATCTACCTAACCTTATAGATCTAACTTTGTAGGTCTTTCATTAGTTACCCAATTCTTTTTTTAAATTACTTTATTTTGTATGTGGATGTTTTGCTGGTTTGTATGTCAGTGCACCACAGTGGTACCTGGTACCTGTATTGGCCAGAAGAGGGCATCAGATCCCCAGGAGCTGGAATTACAGAGCCACCATGTGGGTACTAAGAACTGAACCAGGGTCTTCTAGAAGGGCATACAATGTTCTTAATCTCTGGACCATCTCTTCATCCCCTAGTCACTCAATTCTTGATAAAGGTTTTGTTTATCCTATAGTTCTATGTCCACTTCTAAAGGACAAACTGAAGTTGTTTACAGGTTTCCAGCGAGAGCGAGGAACATGTTAAAAATAAAGCAGAACAAACCAAAATCTTTGTTATTTTCCTAGAAAAGTCCTTAGAAACCCCAAAGATTGGTTTCTTGTAACTAGTGTTCCAGCACAACCTAGTTATAACACTAAATTAATGACTTATGGCAAAATAGATTTGTTAAAAAAATAACTTTCTCTTTCTTCCCTCCTCCCTTTCTAGTTAAACCTCTCTCTTTTTCATTCTTGAGATTGGGTCTTGTTATATCACTCTGGCTGACCTTGTACTAATTTTGTAGCTCAGGCTAGCTTCAAATTCGTGTTCATCCTCCTGCCTCAGCCTCCTGAGTGCCAGAATTATAGATATGTACCATTATGCACAGCAATGTTTTAAAAATTCTGAGGCAAGTTTTTACTATGTAGCCTCAACTGACCTCAAACTCTTCTTTGAGGAGTTTGTATTATAGAATGACTATCCAATTCATTAACCTTATTTTAAATTAAAACTCCTATTTTATCTTTGAGTTTATTATCTTCTATTAACATATATTTAAATCTTTAAAAATCTGTTTGAAATGAAAGTCCTTTAAAAAAAAGGGTATGCCCCTCTCTTAGTTACTCTTCCATACTGTGATAAAACATCATGATCAAGGCAATTTATAGAAGGAAGTGTTGATTTGGGGCTTACAATTCCAGAGGAATAGGAGTCCATGACCATCATAATGGGGAGCATGAAGGAAGGCAGGCAGGCAGGCAGGCAGGCAGGCAGGCAGGCATATGGCATTGGAGCACCAGCTGAGAGTTCACACCTGGATCCACGAACAGGAAGCAGAGACCACTGGGAAGTGTACTGTCCCTTAAAACCTCAGATCCATTGCCAGTAACATGCTTCTCCAGTGAGGATCCATTCCAAAAGTACCAACTGGGGACCAAACATGAGCCTGTGGGGGCCATTCTCATTCAAAGCAGGATAACATATTTATCTACTTAGAGAAGTATGGCCTAGTAGATGTATAAGATGCCACTGTGAACTATATGAGTTTAAAAGGTTTTAGTGGGCAGTTGTGGCGCAAGCCTTTAATCCCAGCACTCGGGAGGCAGAAGCAGGTGGATCTCTGTGAGTTCAAGGCCAGTCTGGTCTACAGAGCAAGTTCCAGGACAGCCAGGACTGTTATAGAGAAACCCTGTCTCAAACTGTGCCCCCCCCCAAATGAGGCAAAATTAATTTTTTTTTGGTTTTTTGTTTTTTGAGACAGGGTGTCTCTGTATTGTTTTGGAGGCTGTCCTGGAACTCTCGTAGACCAGGCTGGCCTCGAAGTCACAGAGATTCTATTTTATTCTATTCAAGTAGAATAAAAAAGAGGCTAAATATAACCTACAAGTTTCAAACCTTATGCAAAGTTCAGAAATTACTTTAAAAATATTGGATTTGTTTTTCTCACTACAGAAATACGAAGAAAAATTGGTAGTTTCATTTGGGAACAAGATGAAAATTTTCTGGTAAAAAAGGTAAGAGGAAATTAAAATACTTGATTGGCATGTACAGTTTCAAAACTTTTGAAGGCAGTATAATTTGTGACATATGCATCAATGCGCCAGATTAAGGAATTTAAAGAGCATGCTTTTATTGACATTATCTTTACATAATAAATAGGCAAAATTGGAATATTCCGTATAAATGAAACTGTTCTTAGAAGAAACTTGAGTTCAGGCTTAGCATGCAAGAAATCCTGGATTCAGTCTTCATCCCAGCATAAAATCCAGACATGGTGGAATATACATATGTTTGTAATCCTAGCATTTGGGAATTGGGGGCAGGAGGGTTGGGGTAGAACACACGGTAGAATGTCTCCTTAATATATAAGGCCTTCAGTTCAATTCCTAGTACTGGAAAAATAAAGAACTTTGGTTTCTTTAGTCGGTGACACAGAGCAACAATAGGTGTGTTTGCTGGTGTAGATTCTGATGAATTCTTGTGCTATACCACTTGCTAAATGTTTTAAGGAATATTCCTTAATAGATACATGCAATACTGTTTTTTTAGTTTTTGCCATTCTACTCAAATTTGTGTGTTTTTGACTTCAAAATCTTTATGCAATAGCCATTTATGGATAATCTCAGCATCAAAAGAAGACAGTAATAGAGAATGATACATTATACAAAAAGAAATCAATTAGTTCATAGTGATAATTCAAAAGCAGAAAGAAAAAAAGACAAAGGGGGCAAAAAGAGAGAAGAAAAATGGTATAAGTAAAACTTTTCATAATAGCAATAGTAGCTAACAGAAATAGAAATGATGGTGAAACAGAAAGTCCTTCCTTGGGCCAGCGAGATGGCTCAGTGAATAAAACTGCTTGTTGCACAACCTTGATGACATGGAGAGGTTCCACAGTTGAAGGAGAGAACCAACTTCAACAAGTTGTCCTCTGACGTCCATATGATGCTGTATCATATTGGGTGTCTTGTCCTCAATATACACATAGGCATATCTCACTGGCCCCACTAATTTGCTTTTTTATTTCCCAGAGTATCATCATTTGGAAATCATAGTCTCTTCAGGATCTTTGGCTTGGAGATGATAAGTTCTGAAAATATCTAGACTCTGATTTGTCAGTGATGACAGATTTTTTTTTGAGACAGGGTTTCTTTGTATTATTTTGTAGCCTGTTTTGGAACTCGATCTGTAGATCTGGCTGGCCTTGAACTCACAGAGATCCACCTGCCTCTGCCTCCTGACTGCTGGGATTAAAGGTGTGCACCACCAATGCGCGGCTGAAGGCAAGTATTTTAAGAAAGCCTTAAGTTTGTAATACTTGGTTTTCTTTCTTTCTCCCTTCCTTTCTTTATTCTTCTTCTTCCCTTAAAGTTCAATTACCTGCTACAAATTTAACTTCCATTTAAAATTCTGGTTTTCCTTCTAACAGTATGATTATATGAGTGTATATATATGTATATATATAATTTTGTAAGCTTCCCTACCAGGTTACAATGGCTAGAACAAAAAGAATAAATTTAAATAGCTTTTGGTTATATTTTAATTTAATTTAAAAATTACTGACTAGATAATTGGTGATTTGTTTCCTATTTACAGCATGACAGAGTAACATCAAACAAAAGGGAAAGCAGTGAGCCAACAACAGAACACAAAAAAGAATTGTCTGAAAGGTATTGAGTTAATATGCTTCATTGCTATTTAAATTAAATGTAGAAATCTTTGAGCTTAATTGTTTATTTGTTTCACAATTCCTCTGAGATTGATATTGTCATTATCACCATTCTCATTTATAGAAAAAGAGATCTAAGATTAAAAAGATTGACTTGTCCAAAGTCATACAAACTTTTTTTTTGTTTTGGTTTTTTCGAGACAGGGTTTCTCTGTATTGTTTTGGAGCCTGTCCTGGAACTCGCTCAGTAGACCAGGCTTGGTCTCAAACTCACAACAGAGTAGTAAGTGAGGCTTGAAAGATGACTCAGTGGTTAAGAGCACTTATTGTTCTTACAGAGTACCTGGGCTTGTTCCAGGGGACTTGACTCTCTCTTCTGAGAGCACCAGGAACACATGTGGTACACTTATAGGCAAGACACACATGCACATAAAACATAAATAAATACATAACAAAATAAGGTGATGAAATATTAATGAAGTCACCGAATAGCAACCTCTGCCCTCCACATACATGCCCTCACATACATGCCCTTCACATACATATGTGTGCACTCACGCTAACACTCACACAAATGTACATGTATATATGACAAAATGCCAGGCATGGTACTTTTTAGGTGTAATCTTAGTACTACAGGTGGGGCTTAAGATGAACACCAGACTAGCCTAGGCTACTTAGGCTACATAAGAAGACTCTGTCATACTTAAAAAAAAAAAAAAGACCAATTATGTGAAATACTCTAGGTTTCTGCCTTTTCTTTTTCTTTTTTCTTTTTGTTTTTTCAAGACAGTGTTTCACTGTCACTGTGTAGCCCTGGCTGTCCTGGAATTCACTCTGTAGTCCAGCCTGGCCTTGAATTCACAGAGATCCTCCTGCCACTGCCTTCCAAGTGCTGGGAATTAAAAGTGTGTACTACCACTGCCCAACTTTGCCTTTTATTTTTCATTTTTTCTTTTCTTATTGGGAATTTTCATAATGTACATAATGAATTTTGATCAAACCCACTCCACCCCCTCTCCTCTAATTCCTTAACTCCCCTCAATTTCATGTATTCTCTCTCTGTATAGTCATGGATGGATGTTCTTGAACTCACTATGTAGACCAGATTGGCTTCGAACTCACAGAGGTCCACCTGCCTCTGCCTCCTAAGTGCTGGGATTAGAGGTGTGCACCACCACACCTGGTGCTTCTCTCTTTATTTGAAAACCCACTGGCCCTACTTAGTGCTGCCATTGTCTGCGTGGGTATTGGACCATATACTGGAGCATGAGCCGCCTTCCAGGGGCTGTATCCCTGATGAAACTTATTCTACCTCTTGTAGCAGCTATCTATGGCCAACAGCTTCTCAGCTAGGGTGGGGGCTTCCTGAGCCCCTCCTCTATCCATGCTGAGAGTTTGGCTGGCCTGATTTTATGCAGTACTATGTGTTATGAATAAGCATGTAGAGAACCTTGGTGGATTCCATGGCAGGCGAGGGTGACCAAGACAGGGGACAAACATGTCAGACAGACAGAGCTTAGTGAGAAGTTTTATTAGAAAGGGAAGCGGGGAGGGGCAGGAGAGAAAAAAGAGGTAAAGAGACACAGAGACAGAGAGGACAGAAGAGAAGAGGGAGACAAGAAAAGTCCTGTCTGCCCCAGGGAAACAGCAGGAAAGAGAGAGAAAGAGCATAACTGGGCAGGGGTCTTTCTTTTAAAGGGGTCCTTTGCACCTGCATGCTGACCAGGGTACTGCTTGAGTGTATTCTGCCAGCTGACAGCGGCAGGGAAGCATAATACCTGAATCCTTACATTGTGCATGTTGTCATAGCCTCTGTGAGTTCATATGTTCCACAGCCTTATCATGTTATGGTGGAAAACTCCACTACATCTGTAGAGCCTTTTCCGTGTGGAGCCACCAGATGGTGGGATGTGAACATAAATAAAGTAGACCTTGAAATATATGTATGAGGCATTACTTTCAAAGTGATAGTAAGCACATGTTAAATGGTATACTATTATTGGACAATTGCTAAGTATTTGTGAGACAAGCAGTTCACAATATTTCATTTGATTCTCACAGCTTGGATATGCAATCAGTCCCATTCATTTTACAATTGAAAAACAGCTCTGAAGTGCTAAATAATTTATTCAGTTTTACTCAGAAAGTACAGATGAATTTGATACCATGTGGAGTCCAGAGTTTTAATTGTTGTGCTATTTTCCTTTCTGCAAATATACCTCAAATTTTAAAGTTTCGTGCATTTTAACTTTTTGTTGTCGTTTTAAATTATTTTAATATAAATGCAAAGGCTGGGGATGTAGCTCAGTGTTAGAGTGGTTTCCTAGTGTGCATGGAGCTCTGGGTGTGATCACTAGCATTGCATAAACTAGGTGTACTGATGTGTGCCTGTAATCACAGCACCCTGGAGGTGGAGAAGTTCAAGTTTATCCCTAGCTACATAACTAGTTTGAGGCCAGCTTGGGTTTTATGAGACCCTATTTTTAAAATGCCAAAATTTAAAAAATGTAAGTCCATTTAATTCATGAAAATAAGACATATAGAAAAGAAATTTAAATTAGAAATAATTCTGTCACTCAGTAGACTATGTCTCTACTCTCTTACAATAAGACACAATTTATAGAACTGAGGCCATCTTGAAGTCCCTTCAGTTTGCATCAAATATTCTATCAACATGTTTCTGTAAGATTGAAAACCTTATTTGATGTTATAATTTAGTGTTAGGATTAAACTCTTAGAAAGCAAAGCTATAATTCCAGGAAAGGAGTAGTAGACCAGAAATTACCCTGCATCAGTGAGCTCTATTAGGAGAGAGAGCCTCACAATTGTGATGGGGCATGGCCAGCTTGAAATGGGAAAGCATTGTGAGGGATAGTAAGTACATCACACCAGAGGCAGCATGGTGAGGTTGAGCTGGGAGAGCAATGGAGGAGGCTTGAGACAACGTATCCAGGTTCTTAAACCTGGGAGGAGCTTCAAGTAGGTAAGAGGTGGATGTATGTGGCCAACAACATGGGACAGGTTGAGCAAGAAACAGAAAAAGTCAAAAGTCCTTTACTTGAAGGGTTAGGTAACTCAGAGCCAGTTTTATCAGAGCTAGGCATCAGAATTGTTTGTTCCATGACTCCATCTTTTTTGTTACAACAAAGGGGACCTAGCAAGTCATGCTGTGCTGTCTTAGTTAGGGTTTTCATTGCTGTGAAGAGACACTATGACCATAGCAACCCTTATAAGGAAAACATTTAATTGAAGGGGCCCACTTATAGTTCATCATGGTGGGGAGCATGACAGGGTGCAGGCAGATGTGGTGCTGGCTACATATTGGCTTGCAGGCAATAAGATGTCAACTAATACAAAAGACAGAGAATATCCAAATTAACAAAATAAGAAACAAAAAGGAGATGGACACTTTTCTAGATAAGTACCGCATAAGAACAGATAAACAACTTAAATATACCTATAACCCCTAAGGAAATAGAAACAGTTATCAGTTGTCTCAAAACCAAAAAAAGTTCATACCCAGATGGATTCAGTGCAGAATTCTACCAGATGTTCAAAGAAGATTTAATACCAATACTCCTCAAATTATTCCACACAATAGAAACAGAAGGAACATTGCCAAACTCTTTTTATGAGCCTACAGTTACTCTGATGCCCAAACCACACAAAGACACAACTAAAAAATACACCATCCAGGCGTTGGTGGCACATGCCTTTAATCCCAGCACTCGGGAGGCAGAGGCAGGCGGATCTCTGTGAGTTTGAGGCCAGCCTGGTCTACAGAGTGAGTTCCAGGACAGCCTCCAAAACAATACAGTGAAACCCTGTTTTGAAAAATCCAAATAAATAAATAAATAAATAAATACCAATTTCCCTCATGAACATAGATGCAAAAATATTCAATAAAAATACTGGCAAACTGAATTCAAGAATACAGCAGAAAAATCATCCACCATGACCAAATAGAATTCATCCCAGAGATTTTCAACATATGAAAATCCATCAATGTAATCCACCATATAAACAAACTGAAAAAGAAAAACCACACGATCATCTCATTAGATGCTGAAAAAGCCTTTGACAAAATTCAACACCCCTTCATGATAAAGGTCTTGGAGAGAATAGGGATACAAGGATGATACCTAAATATAATTAAGACAATATACAGTAACCCAACAGCCAACATCACACTAAACTCAAAGCAATACCACTGAAATCAGGAACAAGAGAAGGCTGTCCACTCTCTCTATATGTATCCAACATAGTTTTAGTTATAACAAGAAGACAACAAAAGGAGATCAAAGGGATACAAATTGGAAAAGAAGAAGTCAAACTCTCAATATTTGCTGATGATATGATAGTTTACATAAGTGATGCCAAAAATTCTACCAGAGAACCCCTGCAATAAATACCTTCAGTAATGAAGCAGAATATAATATTAACTCTAAAAACAGTAGCACTTCTATATACAGATGACAAATGGGCTGAGAAGGAAATCAGAGAAATATCACTCTTTACAATAGCCAAAAATAACATAAAATATCTCAGGGTAACTCTAACCAATCAAGTGAAAGACTTGTTTGACAAGAACTTCAAGATATCAGAAAATGGAAAGATCTCCCATGCTCTTGAATAGGTAGGATCAATATAGTAAAAATGGCAATCCTGCCAAAAGTAAGCTACAGATTCAATGCAATCCACATCAAAATACAGGCATAATTCTTCACAGACCTTGAAAGAGTAATACTCAACTTCATATGGAAAAACAAAAAATCCAGGATAGCCAAACAACCTGTATAATACAGGATACTATGGAAGCATCACCTCCCTGACTTCAATCTACTACAGAACTATAGTAATGAAAACAGCTTGGTATTGCCTTAAAGACAGTTGGACCAATGGAATAGAATTGAAGACCCTGTTATCAACCCACATACCTATGAACTCCTCACTTTTGACAAAGAAACTAAAAATATAAAATGGAAAAAAGAAAACATATTCAACAAATGGTGCTTGTACAACTGGCTATCAACATGAAGAATGCAAATAGATCCATATCTATTGCCATGCACAAAACTCAAGTCCAAATGGATCAAAGACTTCAATATAACGCCACCCACACTGAATCTCATAGAAGAGAAAGAGGCAAATACATTTGAACGCACAGGCACAGGAGACCGCCTCATAAATAGAACACCAGTAGCACAGACACTGAGAGAAACCATTAATAAATGGGACCTCCTGAAACTGAAAAGCTTCTGTAAAGCAAAGAATACAGTCAACGAGACAAAATGGATAGCTACAGAATGGGAAAAGATCTTCACCAACCCCATATCTGACAGAGGGATGATCTCCAAAACATACAAGGAACTCAAGAAACCTAGAAATCAAACTACCAAATAATCCAATTAAAAATGGGGTACAGATCTAAACAGAATTCTCAGCAGAAGGAACTCAAGTGGCCAAAAGACACTCAAAGAAATGCTCAACATCCTTAGTCATTGGGAAATGCAAAGCAAAACCACACTGATACTCCATCTTACACTGATCAGAATGGCTAAGATCAAAAACACTATTGACAGCGTATGCTGGAGAGGATGTGGAGAAAGGGGAACACTCCTCCATTGCTGGTGGGAGTGCAAACTTACAGCCACTGTGGAAATCGATATGGCAATTTCTCAGAAAATTAGGGATCAACTTACCTTAAGACCCTGCAATACCGCTGTTGGACATATACCCAAAGGAGGCATAGTCACACCATAGGGACATTTGCTCAACTATGTTCATAGCAACATTATTTGTAATAGTCAGATCTTGGAAACAACCTAGATGCCCCTCAACTGGAGAATGGATAAAGAAAATGTGGTACACTTACACAATGGAGTACTACTCAGCAGTAAGAAACAATGACATGCAGGCAAATGGACAGAACTAGTAAAAAACCATCTTGAGTGAGGTAACCCCAAACCAGAAAGACAAATATAGTATGTGTTCACTCATAAGTGGATACCAGACATAAAAGATATCCAGCCTACAATCCACAACCCCAGAGAAGCTAGAACCCTCTTCCAGAAACAGAAGCAGATGCAGAAATCCACAACTAACCATTGGGCCAAGCTCCTGGAGTACAACTGAAGTAAGGGAGTAGCAATAATATGAACAAAGGAGTCAAGACCATGATGGGCAAACCCAAAGAATCAGCTGACCCAAGATAGTGAGAGATCACTGACTCGGGTCTGACGGATGGGGAACCTGCATAAGACCGAACTAGACTCTCCTAATATAGGTGACAATGGTGTGACTGGGACAATATATGAGGCCACTGGCAATGGATCCAAGATCTAACACTAATGCACAAACTGAATTAGTGGAGCCCATTCTATATGGAGATAACCTTGCCCAGATATGGAGTGGAGATGGTCCTGCCTCAACGAGATGATGGGACAAACTTAATAGACTTCCTAGGGGAGGCCTTAACCCTCTCTGAGGAGCAGATGGGAGGTGGGGGATGGTAGTGGGGGCAGTGGGAGGAGAGAGGGGAAACTGGGATTGAAATATAAAAGATAGATTAATAATAATAAAAAAGAAAACAATTGACAAACTTACAGCCACTGTAGAAATCGATATGGCAATTTCTCAGAAAATTAGAGATCAACTTACCTCAAGACCCTGAAATACCGCTGTTGGGCATATACCCAAAGGAGGCATAGTCACACCATAGGGACATTTGCATAGGAAACTTCAAAGCCCACCCCCACAGTAACACACTTCCTCCCACAAAGGCCCTACCCATTCCAACAAAGCCACACCTCTTAATAGGTTCACTCCATATGAGCTTATAGGGGGGTCAATGACATTCAAACTGCCACATGGGCAGTGGTGGTGCATTCCTTTAATTCTAGCACTTGGGAGGTAGTTACAGGCAGAGCTCTGTGAGTTCAAGGCTAGCCTGGTCTACAGAGTGAGTTCCAGGACATCCAGGGCTACACAGAGAAACTCTGTCTTGAAAAACCAAAAAAAGAAAAAGAAAAAAAAAAGGGGACAAGTCTAGGCTTTTGTGATAAACAGAGTTTGTCAATTCTTTGCCTCAGAGGACAGACTATAGGGGGAGGAGTGGACTGATTTCTTTTAGGCTGCCATCTGGTCTTAAATAGGCAGGCAGGCCCATGGTCTAAGGTAAGCCTTATTAAGTTACTTAAAAATTTCATGGTTTCCCCAACATTGTTTCTTTTTGTTATGCTGAAGTATGGAGAAATGTACTAGTTTATAGACTCTCAATTATTTAAATACTGTATAACAAAAGACTATGACCATTTATAGAGTCTACTGTGCTTTTGGCATATGTAATATTTCACATGTGTATACATATGTGTATTGATTATGATGCATATAATGAATTATTTTACATTTTTGACAGTGCTGGGTATTGAACCTAAGTCTCATGCATGTTAGGGAAAAGCACTACCACTAAGATATATTCCTAGCCCTGTGTTATCTTTTATTTATTTATTTATTCATTTATTTATTTATTTATAGCTCGCTCTGTAGACCAGGCTGGCCTCGAACTCACAGAGATCCCCCTGCCTCTGCCTCCCGAATGCTGGGATTAAAGGTGTGGGCCACTAATGCCTGGCTGCCCTGTGTTATTATAAGTTATTACTGTGTTTTGGGGGATATTGAGATGACCCAGGCCTCTATTCAATAATTGTTTGATTTATGAAGTGGCTAAGAAAACTGAAAGTAGGTATATGGGCTCTGGTCTTTCTTAGCATCACAAAAGAAAGCTCACAATTAACATTTTCACCAAGTAAGACTAAACCTGATTAAAGAAGTGTTAAATTATTATATAAATTGTCTGGAATAAATCTGATTTTGTAATATAAATTTAAAAATCAAATATAAATGTGATTTTCTATATGTTCCATTTTTATAGTGTAGAGAATCATTTTATAAGGACTCCGGTTGTAGAAAAGCAGATGTACTTCCCTCTTCAGAATTATCCAGTGAACAACATGGTAACAGGTAATCTGAAGTAAAAAATAAAGTAAGCTCAGCTAGCAAAGAAACAAGGGGACTGAGTAGAACAATGCTGTTACCAAGCAGAACCTTTTCTTTTACCATGGTGATAGGAGAGGTGCCATTTATCTAAAACATTTATTTATCTGAAGAATGGACCAAGCATGGGCTTCATGTTTTCTGTGCCAAGACAGAGGTCTCTAGATAGGAGGTATGCTTGCTCTTGCTTCCATGAGACAGTTGCAATTTATTTCTGACATTCAGGGATCAGTTCTTTTGTTTTTGTCTTTGTAGTCTGGAGGTTGAACCCAGGGCCTCATACATGCCTAGGATCAGGCTTTACTATTATGGAAGCAGACAGCTGGGACCTTTCCGTGAACTACTCACCAGCCATGTAACGTGAAACTTCCCTTTCCTCTGAGAGGACTGAACTCTGCTCAAAGCCCCTACCATGCTGCTGTCTGTCTGTACGTTTATGGTGTTAATTCTTCTAATGAAAGGCTTCAGATTGGGGGTGGTTCAAGAGATATGCTGAAATGGATTACTGGGGACTGTAGAATTTATTAGAAAAGTTACTGTCATGGACAGACAGACAACAGCATGGTGAAGGCTTTGGGGGCAGTTTAGGCCCCAGCACCAGACACAGACCACATGGCAGAAATAGAGAGAGGAATCAGAGCCCACATCACAGAAGTGGGCTTTCTTTTTATACTTTCTGAAGATGGGGGAGGTTTCCCAGATGCCTGCAGTCAGCTGTTCTCTAATTTCTAGGCATGAAACAGGGAAATGGGTAGCAAGCAAGTTACTTGACCACACCCACTCTGATGTTAGCTCACCTTCCCAGGTGAGAAATCCTAATACCAGGAAGTCTGATAACTGGGGACTTAGATATTTGACTTTCCCTCCCTTAAATGGGTTAAGTTCAATGACTGGTAAGCTTCAGAAAATAGAATTATTTGAGAACTTTAGTTATAGAAAATGCAAGCTGGAGCTTTGAGTTAGAACAGGGCCTCACAGTTCAGGCACTGCTGGCCAAATTGTTCTCTTGACCGAGATGGATGAGCATCAACTTTCACCATGGTTGTAAGGTGTTTTCCCCAGGTGCCAGTCATGCAACTTCTTCCCTGCAACTGTGACAACCAAAAATATCTCTAGACTTTGCCAAATGGCTCCCAAAATACTTGTTTTTGAAATTGGTTTTTATTATCGCCTCAGTTTGATATCACTTGTTATCCTCCACAATAAGATGTTCTGATTGATAAATTTCATATGTGGTAAGTAGAGGGAAGAAAATAATCACTAACAAATACCTTCCTGGCAAAAATTCCAAGTCAAATGATTCTTTTTTTAATTAATTAATTTATTATGAATACAACATCCTGCCTCCATATTTGCCTGCATGCCAGAAAAGGGCACCAGATCTCATTATGGATGGTTGTGAGCCACCATGTGGTTGCTGGGAGTTGAACTCAGAACCTCTGGAAGAACAGTCAGTGCTCTTAACCTCTGAGCCATCTCTCTAGCCCCCAAGTCAAAGGATTCTAATAATTAAATTGAGAACCCAAAAATATTTACTGTTTAAATATCTATTTATATGTAGCAAATCATTTCAGAATTAACAGTTTAAAACAATGACCATGTATCTGGCATGGGTGCTAGTTTCTATAAATACAAGCATTTGGGGACTGAGCAAGAAAAGTACTATAAATCTGTAGCCTGAGCTACATAGTGAGTTACAGACCATATTGAGTACAGTGTTGAGACTTTATCTCTAAAAACAAACAAACAAACAAAACAAGGGTCTTGTGCCTCCAGCTCAGTTGGTATAGTGTTCGCCCAGTATTCAGAAAGCCTGAGTTTGATCCTTAGCACCTCGGAGCTGTATAATGGTGTCACATCTGTAATTCCTGCACTGCAGAGGTAGAAGCAAGAGGATAAGAAACTCAGGGTCATCCTCAACTTCGACCAGCAAGTTTGAGGTCAGGTTGGCATACATCAAGGAAAAGAAAAACAAAACCAGAATAATGAATAATTTATAGTTTCAGAGGGCCAGAGTCCTGGAGTGTGTTAAATGATGACTTATTTCAAAGTTCCATACATTTTCAGAGAAATTGTGATCAAAGCTACAGTCATTCTGAGGCACAACTGGGAGTGGAAAAATCCACATCATAGCTTACTTGCAAGTGGTACTTGCCAGACTGTCGGTCTTTGCTGAGCTTTAGCCCAACGCTTAATATTACATGGGCTTTTTTATGCATATGGGTGTTGTGTCTGCATGTATGCCTATGTACTTGGTATCTCAAGAGACTAGAGGAGGGCATTGGATGCCCTGAAACTGGAGCTATACACAGTTGGGAGCCAGCATATGTGTGCTGGGAATCAACCTGGGTCCTCTGCAAGAGCAGGCAGTGTTCTTAACCACTGTACCATCTCTCAAGCTCCCCGAATAGGCATTTTCATAAAGTCTATTCAAAACATAGTAGTTTGTTTCAGAGTAAGAGGTTCAAAGTAATAAGAGAATGTCTAAAACAGAAGCCAGTCCTTTTTTTCAGAAATGACGTGTCAACACATAAAATAGCCCTAGTAGAAAGTTGTAGGCAGACTTTTCTTTCCTGCTAGCCATTTCCCAAATAATCACACTGAGACTTACTATCAGTTATAAACACTTGTCCAATAAGTCAGGCTTGTTACTAGCTAACTTAAATTTTAAATTAACCATTCTTTCTTTTTTTTACTTCTTTTTTTAAAAAATAAATTTTATTCAAATTTTAAAAATTTATTTTACATACCAATCCCAGTTCCATCTCCCTCCTGTCCTCCCATGCCCTCCACCAATCCCCATCCCATCTCCCTACCCTGTCCCCGTGAGTAACCCATATTTCTTCTTCTTCTTCTTCTTTTGTTTTTTTGAGACAGGGTTTCTCTGTATTGTTTTGGAGGCTGTCCTGGAACTTGCTCTGTAGACCAGGCTGCCTCGAATTCACAGAGATCTGCTGCCTCTGCCTCCTGAGTGCTGGGATTGATGGTACTTTTAAATGCAGTGTGCAGAGCATTTAGAAACCTCACGTTCTTAGCTGGGTTGGTGAAAGCTCAGGGTCTGCTATGTTAGGGTAATGTATTCCAGAAATGCTAGTCACAAGGATGCTAGGTTGGACACAGGGAGAGGAATGTCTAGTAAGGAGACTATAATATGGCAGCCTCTCTGCAGTCAGAAGTTCTGACCTGTTAGTCAGCCTTGCAGTGAGTGGGTGCTTTTCCTTTCTGGGAAATTGTGTTCACAATGACCAGCTCTAAGACAGAAAAGAGGGATAGCAGAGTTCCTGTGAGCTGCTTGGGGGACAGTTACAAGCCAAAAACTGGATGAAAGCTGAGAAGCATCATGATAGCAGCTTATCCTTGTAGGAATATGTTTGTTAATTAATTTTGTATTTCTTTCCTGAAGCCTTTAGAAACCTTGTGCAGTGTATTGTGGACAGGTCCCTGCAGGTATACAGGCAGGGGAGCAAACTGCACAGAGATAAGACGAAAAGCAGTGCAGATTGACTTCATCAACCTGAATCAGACTTCGGGGAGTCTAATACCAGGCACTTTATTGTAGGCATAGTTAAACACAATAGCACTTGGAAAAGGGTCTCCAAGCAACAATAATTCCTGTAAATCCAATTCCAGGTGCACAATAAAGCTTAAGTGTGATTACATAGCAATTCTTTTAAAAGGACATGTGATCTTGAAGGTAGGTTCTATAGCTGAAAGACCTAGAATCTAATGTAGTCTCTGTCTGATAGCATAGAGGTCAGCAGTACATAAAGTACATGTGACATCTCCTCTAAGGATGAGTAATGATCTAGGGAGGGAAAAGTCAGAAATAATCATTCTGGGGAACTAGGGTGAGGTTTGTTCCTTCAGATAGCAAAAAGGTTACCAGGCTGTTAGCAACCTCCACTCTCAGCTTTCTGGACAGAATGCAGGGTATTTTTTTTCTTTTGGTTTTTTGAGACAGGGTTTCTCTGTATTGTTTTGGAGGCTGTCCTGGATCTACCTGCCTCTGCCTCTCGAGTGCTGGGATTAAAGGCGTGCGCCACCAACGCCTGGCCAGGGTATTCAGTTTTATATCCTCTATTGAGAAGACACCCATGTGTGATTAATGTTTCTGGTTCTCTTAGTGCTTCTCTATGAGTCCAAGGCCCTGGTGCCTTCTGCATGTGTGCAGAGCATTTAGAAACCTCACATATGTGTCTGTGCAACAAGCGTTTTTTCCCACTGGTTACACAGTGCTTATCTATCAGGTGGAGATCATGAATATACATGGGATGTCACAGTTGTGCTTCAGAAAGAGCCAAGGAAATAGATACGCATGATGGAAATAGATTAGAGATACTAATTTTCTATGGCTGGATTCATAATTTTAAACTATGAATTGACTTTATTACTAAAACAATCAAGTTATATATGTTGCTATTGATGGTACTTTTAAATGCAGTCATACTTGGGATCTTCTAGATTTTTAATTTACAGTGTTTGCTTTTAGATTCCAATTTTAGTATTAGTATAAACCACAAACATTCATATTACACGTAAAATATAATCATTCAAATGATAAGTAATTGTTATCAAGTTACAGCTTAAGAACTTTGACTCCTTCCCTAAGCTCTCTGCATTTAGGCAGGGTTTCTTTTTTGGCATTCGTATCTATTTCAGATTATTAATGACATCAAAATTACACCCATAATTTGTGTTGACTGACAGTACTACTGACTTCACTGTTAATTTTTCACTAGAAAGCATTATCTCAGTTTTGCAGTGCTTAGAAGTGTTGTCTGCTCTGTGGAGCAGATATACTGTCTGTGCAGTTGAGGAGTTGTGGAGAAAGTTCTCAGTGCTTAGTCTTATGCCAGTTATTCCCAGTCATTTTGGTTTCAGTACTTTAATGTTCCAGCCCCAATATGGACATTCCACTCTCAGTAGTCAAAGTTACTTATCAAGTATCTACGCTTTTCAAAAGTAGAAGGAAGGAAGGAAGGAAGGAAGGAAGGAAGGAAGGAAGGAAGGAAGGAAGGAAGGAAGGAAGGAAGGGTTAAGTGTGTTGGTTCACACCGATAGTCAGAGAACTTGGGAAGCTGAACAAGGCCAGCCTGGGCTACACAGTGAGTTCTAGTCTAGTCTAGGTTAAAGTGTGAAATCCTGTCTCAAAAACACAATTGAATAAACAAACAAAACTAGGACAGTGAGGAGGAGAGATGGGTAGAAGAGACAAATAAGACCAAAATACAATGATATATTTGAATGAAAAGGTCATGATAAAACTCATCATTTTGTAAACTAAGGGGAAATAAGAAAACAGTATTAAGGGCAGGGGATATAGTTCAGTTGGTAGAGAGCTTGCCGGCATGTACAAAACTCTGGTTTTAGTCTGCAGTACAATAATAGAGCATGGAGAATGGGCCTGTAATCTCAGTACTGGAGAGGTGGGAGAAGGAGGGTCAAGTGTCTTTTGAGAACCTTCTCACCAGCATTATTTTTTCTTTTTAGTTCTTTTTAAAAACTATAAAAATTTAACTAATAAATAAAAGATACTGAAAATAAAACAGCATGATAGGATTTCAATTGTATCTATTTCTTTTTATCTTTATAGGTTATATATCAATTGATGCCTTGGAGAAATTCCTTGGAGAATTACATGACTTCATTCCTGGAAGCTCAGGATATTTGGCATATCATGTTCAAAATGAAATTAACATGTCTGCTATAAAAAACAAATTAAGGAGGAAACTAAGTTAAATTGTACTTACATCTGGGCATTTTTATAAAATATTATGACATGTATATAATTTAAATGAGAATGGAGAAAGAATTATTTTCTTTCTCAACATGTGTTCGGAGAAAACTCATAATTATTTTGGCTCTCCAAACATTGTGAGTGAAAAATTGTTATAGAATTATTGTCATCCAAACACTTAAAATAACTCTCTATCAAATGTTCTTTTGATTTTGACTTTAGTATTGCATTATATTTTTTCTAGGTTCAGTATTGAAATACTTTTATAATTCTGGTTCTGTTATTTTGATTTTTAAAAATTAGGATGCTATACTTGAACTGTGAATGTTTTATTTCTGAACATAATGAGCCAGGTATCTTATAGTCTCCATAGTAGAGCCTGAGCCCAATACTGTGGCTTATGAGAAAATAAAAACTTAAGAGGGTGTCCTTCCAGAGTGACTAAATGAGGCCCAACCCAAACTGGAATATGATTTTCCAGACTGGTATTTATACTCTGTTTTCCTAGATGGTTATGCTGGAATCTCAGTGTTCGTATTCTGTTCCCTTTTTGAGACAAGGTTTTATTGTGCTATCCAGGCTGGCCTCTAACTCCTGGGTACAAGTAATGCTCCTGCCTCAGCATTATAAATAAGATGAAGTTGCAGGTCTGTGCTGCTGTACCTGGCTTTCCGGCTTTTTGAATGAATATAGAGATGTGGCAATCTCGATAAGGCAGTTTTGCTAGATTTTGTAGTGTTGACCTGTAATCCCAGGTACTTGGGTGACTGAAGCAGGAGTACAGAAAGCTCAAGCCAGCCTGGGTAACTTAGTAAGACCCTGTCTCAAAATAAAAAGTTAGAAGAGACCAGTTACATAGCTTGTTAGTACAGCACTTGCCAAGCATGTACAAGGTCCTGGGTTCATTTCCAAGCACCACATAGACACAGAAACCACTTCTTATGTAGGGTTTGCTGGGCTTATTACTTTCTGAAGATATAAATGGAATTACTTGTTAGACCTGTTTATCCTTCTGGAACCTACAGAATTATCTAAAGAAAGGATACCCTGTTTCTTTCTTTCCTTCTTTCTTTCCTTCTTTCTTTCTTTCTTTCTTTCTTTCTTTCTTTCTTTCTTTCTTTCTTTCTTTCTTTCTTTCTTTTATAGACAGGATTTCTCTGTGACTTTGGAGGCTGTTCTGGAACCAGCCCGTGTAGACCAGGCTGGTCTTGAATTCACAGAGATCCTCCTGCCTCTGCCTCCCGAGTACTGGGATTAAAGGTGTGAGCCACCACTGTCCAACTTTTTTTTTCTTTTTTGTGTGTGGATTATTTGAATGTATGTGAGCCGTAGTTCTTTACAACTCAAATTTCATAGCATAAAATTCTAACTCTCAGCCTCAATATTTGAGAATTGTGTTTTTGTCTGTTGGTAGTTTTTCCTTATTTGGTTTTGTGCCTATGGTTAAGCCCTTCTGAACTTGTAAATGAAACACTAACCCTGTTAATTATCTTTTCCTGAAACATTAAATATTGTTTCTTCCTGAACACTTTATCTTAGTCACATTCTATTGATTAGGTTTTACATAGAAACTAAGCCTATCTGTATATTTAAAATTAATTATTAAGAGTATTACGTATGTTTACACTAGATTATTGTAAGAGTATTCAGTGTTTATCCAACATGTGCATAGTAAATAAAAACCTTCAACATTTGTTTCCCAAAAAGATTATATTTCAGATAGACAATGCAAATATAATAATGTTTTCTTGGAATGCTGCCAGGAACAATAAAATCAGTTGATATCATAAGTTTTTCAGGACTTGGAAATATGAAGAAATAAAATGGCAAATGTCTTAGTTTCTTTTTATGTTGCTCTGATAAAGACAAGGGAAAAGGGTTTATTCTGGCCCACGGGTCAAGGAAGAGCTGTCTAAACTGATGAACATGACTGCACTATGGTATGGTTAAGGTTCTTATTGTAGGTATGAGGGGGTGAAATGGCAGAGGCATCTGGAGGAGTCCAGAGCAGAGAGAGAAAGGAGTAGACTGAACATGGCCAGCAGACTGGGCCTGGCCAGGAGAAAAGCAGGAGCAGAGCATAGAGGAGAGAAATCAGGAGAGACTGAGATAAAGACCAAGATTTCAGGCAGAAGAGAGTATAGCTGAAATATGTGCAGGCTGCCACTCAATTCCCCCTTTGCATTTATTTATACAGTTCAGGATCCCAGCCAAGGTCCACAGTGGGCGGGGCTCCCCCTTCAATAAACTGTAATCAACAAAATTCCCACATGCAATGCCCAGAGACCATCTCCCAGGTGATTCTGGATCCTGTCAGTTGACAGTTAATACTCACAGCTCTATGCCTTGTCAACTACACACACAAACATCACCTCCCATTCCTTGTCCACAGTCTCATGACCATGTTAAAACAAAATGTATCCAGTCCAGCTTTACAAGTGATACTCTTCCATCAGTTGTACAAAGTAAGCATTCCTATTCCTAAAGGGAGAAATGATTGGGCCAAAATTTTACCACTCAAATTAATCCCCAGAGGTCGAGGGCTAAAGCTGGTAGGTAGGAAAGGTGAGGAGCACCAGGGCTGCTCACTTCTCCATTCTGATCTGCTCCTGTAGCAGAGGCCTAATCAGGCTTGTGTCTGCCTCTCTCCTGAGAAGATCAGAGGCCCCATCTACCAGCTTTCCTGCAGCATCTCCCCTCTCCAAGTGACCGGATGGGAGTTCAGGCCAGAGCTGTCTCCCAAAACATTGGCATAGTGAAAGACCTCGGCATCAAAGCGCCGGGCACTGAACTGAACCCTCTGCCCAAGAACCGGGGCCAGACCACTGGCTGCAAATGCAAGAGGTGATTTATTGAGTACACAGGCACCTGCGGATGCTACTGCATCCAGGCTTGCAGGGAGCATAATATTTATAGAGTTTTAATGGTTACATAAGTAACAGGCATTTCATTGGCTCATCTTGGGGGCAGGGGTAGTTTCCACGGACTAAATTTCCTGGTATTACTTTATGAAAGACCCCGGCACGCTTCAGCAATTATTATCCGGGTCCCATGACTACTATGGTGATCATAGACACAACTGGGGGCAAGGGTAGTTGCCAAGGACTAGGTGTCCTGGTATTGCCACATAAAAGACCCTGGCACGCTTCAGCAATTATTATCTGGGTCCCATGACTGCTCTGGTGACCACAGATCCTGTTTGACATCCTGCCAGCTGGGCGAGGTACCTGGTCTGGGTTTCTTTCATTAGGCAATGGCCTGGCCTTGCTTTTCTTTTCCTAGGGGGTCCTGGGTAGGGGTCTTTCAATAGCAGCCAGGTTTGTTGATGCTGGGGCTACCACAGTTGGTATAGCTGGATCAGGGACCTGCATTGGAACCGTATTTGGCAGCTTTATATTGGCTATGCTGGGAGAACCCATCTTTGGAGCAGCAGCTCTTCTATGTCCTTCTGGGCTTTGTCCTGGCTGGGGGTATGGGGTATGATGGTCACTATCCTCATTCTCTTGACCATGTGAGACTTCCATGAGGTCACCCAGCCATCTCCCTGCTACTTCAATTCTGTGCCAGTCCTAGTGCTGAAATAAACTAGTGTAAACACTACAGCAATCAGCATGGAGGTTCTTCAAAAATTATGACCCAGCTGTACCACTCTTGGGTTTTAGCTGAAGGACTGCAAGTCAGTATACTATAGAAGTACTTGAACTTCAGGTTTTTCTGTTGTCATTTGTTTTGTTAACTATTTGTTTTTATTAAACAAAAAAAAGTGTGTGTGTGTGTGTGTGTGTGTGTGTGTGTGTGTGTGTGTGTGTGTGTGTGTAGTATATGTAGGTACCCTCACAGTCCATAAGAGGGCATCAGATCTCCTGGTGTTGCTGGTACCTGAACTTACGCCACATCTCTAGCCTCACACATTCATGCTTATTGTGTATTAGTTATACAGTCTGCCCAGATATTTATCACCTGTCAACTAGCTAGGGAAAATGTACACTTGTATATATCCAGACGTAAAGGAAAAGGAACCATGACAGTTTGGGGAAATGGATACAGCTAGAGATAATTAAAATGAAATAAATCAGACTTACAAATACTGCATGTTTTCTCTCATATGCAAACTCTGGGTTTGAATTTGTGTGTGTGTGTGTGTGTGTGTGTGTGTGTTCTTAAAAGTAGAGGATTATAAGGGGAAGAAGAGATCTTGGAGGAGTAACGTGATAGGTGGGTAGGTAGATAGATACATACATACATGCATACACACATACATAAATAATGTAGTGGAATACAGGTGACATGAAAACAGGAAGGGTGACAAGCTGGGGGAAGATAGGGATCAGCAAAAGGAGCCAGATAAGGTGAGAGAATGTAGTTTTGTAGAGAGATGAATAAGATGTGTATGTAGATGAATAAGATACATATGTATGAAAATTCCATAATGAAACCCATTACTTCATATGTTAGCTTAGATATAACTAAACAGTAAATATTGACAGCAAAAGAATAGAAAACAGAAAGAAGGAAATTATGGAACTAGGGATTTGGGGTTTAGCCCAGTGGTAGAATGCTTGCTTAGCATGTGAGAGGCCTTCAATCTCCAACAGGAGTTGGGTTGTGGTGACTGAGAGGAGAATAGTCAAATATAGAATCGTAGTGAAAGATTTTTCATACATTCCTCTCAACAGTCTATAAAAGCAAACCAAGTAATCAAGTATATAGATTTTTAAATACACAACCTAATGAATTTGACTTACTTGACACAACAGAACATTAATATAGTTGATAATTATTTTTAAATATGCATGGGACATTTATAAGATAAATCTTTTTTAAAATTTAAACTATCTATGTATTGTGTGTATATCTAGAAGAGGGTGTCAGATCAACTGGAACTGGGGTTACAGGCTGTTGTGACACCTGATATGGGTGCTGGGAGCTGAATTTGGATTCTCTGCAAGAGCAGTGCTGTGCCTTAGCCACTGAGCTGTCTCTTCAACCCCATCAGGGACATTTACAGAAATCAATCACATTTGGCATGATTATTGATGAATCTCAAATTACGCTTGGTCTGGAAATTAAGCTCAATTGGAGTAGGGTTAGCCTAGCATGCAGGAAACCCCAGACCTCATAAACTGAGGCATGATGACAAACAGCTATTATCTCAGCATCCTTTTTTTTTTTGGTTTTACGGGACAGGGTTTCTCTGTATTGTTTTGGAGGCTGTCGGTCCAGCCTGGCCTCGAACTCACAGAGATCCGCCTACCTCTGCCTCCTGAGTGCTGGGATTAAAGGTGTGAGCCACCAACGCCCGGTTTATCCCAGTAATCTAGAGGTGAAAGTAAGAAAACCGGACAAGCTGGGTGTTGGTGGTGCACGCCTTTAAAACCAAAAAAAAAAAAAAAAAAAAAAAGAAAACCAGACAAGGTCAGGTATTCAAGGCGATTCTTGATTACATAGCAAGTTTGAGATCATCCTAGGCTACTTTAAGACCTCGTTTCAAGGTCATCAAGGCCTTGAGTGCATGAGATTTTTTTCAAACCAGCAATCATCAATAACAATAAACAAACAAAAGTTGCTGTTAAAATGTGGAGCTCAGCAGGGCAGTGGTGGCGCATGCCTTTAATCCCAGTACTCGGGAGACAGAGGCAGGCAGATCTCTGTGAGTTCAAGGCCGGTCTACTCAGTGAGTTCCGGAACAGCCTCCAAAGCTACTGAGAAACCTTGTCTCAAAAAAACCTAAAAGCAAAGAAAAGAAAAGAAAGATGTGGTGCTTAAAATAGCAATCTATTACTATTTTTGACGCTTCTTTGGGTTGCCTCCACTCAGATGATTCTCAGTGTCTCTTCTGTAACTTTGGTCAGAAAGAGCCAAGACTGGAGATTTCTAAAGCTATGCTAGAACTAGATCCAAGATGGCTCCTTTAGTCACCTCTCTTGACGCTGTGGCACTCCTTGGCCCTTTTCTCCTCTAAATCTATGTCACCTCCAGATCTTTCCACCTGTGTTGACTCTCTCAGGCATTGTAGTTTGAGGGTAGTCCTACTTCTTCCATGGTGGTCATCTTCACAGCAGGATGAGAAAACTACCAGGCCAGCTGTTTTCTCTTGGTCAG